CATAATATGTTTTTAAAATCGTTTGTATTTCCTTGGTGTTGGTAGTGATCTCTCCTTTCTCATTCATGATTTTATTAATTTGAGTCTTCTCTCTCTTCTTTTTAATAAGGTTGGCTAATGGTTTATCTATCTTATTAATTCTTTCAAAGAACCAACTCCTGGTTCTATTGATCTGTTCCACAGTTCTTCTGGTCTCAATTTCGTTGAGTTCTGCTCGAATTTTAATTAACTCTCTTCTTCTGCTGGGCGTCGGGTCGATTTGCTGCTTCTTCTCTAGCTCCTTTATGTGTAAGGTTAGCTTTTGTATTTGAGTTCTTCCCAGTTTTTGAATGGATGCTTGTATTGCGATGTATTTCCCCCTCAGGACTGCTTTTGCTGCATCCCAAAGATTTTGAACAGTTGTATCTTCATTGTCATTAGTTTCCATGAATCTTTTTAATTCTTCCTTAATTTCCTGGTTGACCCTTTTATCTTTTAGCAGGATGGTCCTTAACCTCCACGTGTTTGAGGTCCTTCCAAACTTCTTCTTGTGATTGAGTTCTAATTTCAAGGCGTTATGGTCTGAGAATATGCAGGGGACGATCCCAATCTTTTGGTATCGGTTCAGACCCGATTTGTGACCCAGTATGTGGTCTATTCTGGAAAAAGTTCCATGTGCACTTGAGAAGAATGTGTATTCAGTTGAGTTTGGATGTAAAGTTCTGTAGATATCTGTGAAATCTATCTGGTCCAGTGTATCATTTAAAGCTCTCGTTTCTTTGGAGATGTTGTGTTTAGAAGACCTATCAAGGGTAGAGAGAGCTAGATTGAAGTCACCAAGTATAAGTGTATTATTATCTAAGTATTTCTTTACTTTGGTTAATAATTCGTTTAAGTATTTGGCAGCTCCCACATTCGGGGCATATATATTGAGGATTGTTAAGTCCTCTTGAAGAACCATTGTTCTTAAAGAGAAAAATCATTGGATTGTGGGCAGAGGGTAGAAAATTTATAATCTGTTAACTCCTTACAAAATGGAACAAAACCTAGCTCCCTTCCATGAACCATGTCTCTGTTACAGTGAGTTTAGTCAAAAGGTCATTTTTCTTTCTTTCTTTCTTTTTTTTTTTAAAACCTTTTTAGAGACAGAAGACGGGCAGAAGGAGAGAGAGACTCTTAAGCAGGCTCCACCCCCAGCACACACTGATGCGGGGCTTGATCCCACAACCCTGAGATATCACCTGAGTGGAAGTCAAGAGTTGGAGGGCGTCTGGGTGGTTTAGTCAAAGTCTGACACTTAGAATTTGGCTCAGGTCATGGTCCCAGGGTTGTGAGATCGAGCCCGTGTTGGGCTCTGTGCTCAGCATGGAATGAGAGTCTCTCTCTACCTCTTGCTCTGCCCCCTCCACCTGCTCTTTCTTTCTCTCTAAATAAATGAGGGGGCACCTGGGTGGCTCAGTGGCTGTCTGCCTTTGGCTCAGATTGAGATCCCAGGGTCCTATGATGGGAGTCCCACATCAGGATCCCCATGGGAGCCTGCTTCTCCCTTTACCTGTGTCTCTGCCTCACTCTGTGTCTCTCATGAATAAATAAGTAAAATATTTTAAAAAAGTAAATAAATAAAACTTGAAGAAAAAAAGTCAGATGCTTAACCAATTGAGTTACCCAGGCTCCCCAGAAGGCACTTTTCTTAATAATTCCTAGATAATGCTCTTCTATGCACATGCAGTTCTCTCTTTTTTTGATTTTTTTCCATTTTCTTTAAAAATCATTTTCATTTACACTGATAAATACATTTTCAGGTACAACAAAAATTTCACTCTCCCTTCCAATATGGCCACCATGTTGGATAGCAGAAATAAAGAACATTTCCATCAGTGCAGAAATTTCTATTAGATACTCCTGATGTAGAGCTATTTTATGCTTTTTCTATAATATTTCATAATATGGAAGTACCATAATTTATACAATCATCTCCTATTGAAGATATTTATACTAATTTATAGTTGTTTTCTGTCACAAAGCAGCGATCTCTTTGGAAATGTTTTTCTGGACACTGAGAAGTGAAATTGCTGCAGGATTGAATATGACTGGTCTAAATGTAAAAAAAATATTTCCAGATTGCCCTTCTCATGGGTTTACCAATTTACATTTTCACCAGTGGTTTTGGAGGGTACTGTTTCCTGACTTTACTGAAACTCACTGGGTACCATCAACTTTTTTTTTTTTTTTAAGATTTTACTTATTTATTCATGAGAGACACACAGAGACACAGGCAGAGGGAGAAGTAGGCTCCCTGTGGGAAGCCCGATACGGGACTTGATCCCAGGACTGCAATTACACCCTGAGCCAAAGGCAGACACTCAACTGCTGAGCCACCCAGGCGTCCCGGGTACCATCAACCTTAAAGATGGTTGCATAAGGTTGAGTGAAATATCACATCTCTTGATGGAGAGCTCTAATTACTGTTGAGGTCGAGCATCTTATGTATTTTTGTTGGTTATATTTACTGTCTGTTTCTGCCTTTGACAATTTTTCTTTTAGGATGTCTTTCCATTTTTGTACTGATCTCATAGAAGATATTAAATCTTTGTAATATGTGTTAACAGTTGTGCCCTCTCAATTTGTCATTTGTCTTTTGTTTATAGTATTTTAAATTGTTTATAATATCTTTAAGGAGTTTTAAAATTTGAAGTAATCTACATAATAATCAGTTTTTTCCTTTATGCTTTTGCATTTTGTAATTTTTAAGGAAGCCTTTTTGTATCCTTACATTATAAATCCACTTTTATGTATCTTTTTATAATACTTATGTATAGGTTTATTTTTCTATACATTTAGATTTCCAATCTATCTTCTTACCTTGTTTTCCATTGGACAAACTCTTAAGGCCTAGCTTAAACTTGTTATTTTCCTTCTATACCCTTCTCCTTCCCCCTCTTAGTTATCTTAAAGCCTTTTTCTGTATTTTTTTTTTTTTTTTTTTTAAGAAAGAGAGAGGTAAGTGCAGAAGTAGAGAATCTTAAGCAGGCTCCACACCCAGTGTGTAGCCTCTCATGGGGCTGAAGCTTAACAACTCTCAGATCATGACCTGAGCTGAAATCAAGAGTCAGGTGCTTAGCTGACTTGTACTTTTTTGCATTATAAGTACAAATACATCACTCTACACCAATGCTACACAATAGAAATATATCTTGAGTCTCAAATGCAAGCCACATTTTCTAGTAGCCATATTTTAAAAAGTAAAAATAAATAGGTGAAATTAATTTTGATATTTTTGATTTAACCTGATATGTCCAAAATATTGTCATTTCAACATGTAATAAGGATAAAATGTTACTGAGGATAAAATGTTACTGAGGTGTTTTTATTTTATTTTTTTTCCCTGATGTGTATTTTATACACTCTAGTACATCTCTGTTTAGGCTGGTCACATTTCCATTGCTCAAAAACCAGATGTGGCTACTGGCTACCATATTTAACAGCACAGCTCTATACTGTTATTATGTATTTATATGTTTATTTTTCCCATTTTACCATCTCCTCAAGAAGAGAGACATTTTGTTCCTCTTTTTATCCAAGTTTTATTGAAACTAAGAATATATTAGTATTGTGAAATGTTTGGGAAAAGCTAAAATGTCCTTGGGTAACATTAATGGAAGAATAACTTCTAGAATAATGAGCTGTTAATACTGTTCTCCTATTTACCAGGCAGACCATCCCCTAATTATTATTATGTCTAGTCCTTCCATGCTTTTGAAGGGCATTGTTACACCAGATAAAGCCCCGAAAAGAGTGATTAGATTAATAAGGGGTCTTCCAATCATGCCTTTAAGAAACAGCTGAAACCTCTATTTCACTTAGGGTTTGGGAGATAGGGATGGGCATGAGAGAGTATGGTCTTAAAGGGCTTGAAGAGTTGTTAAGAGCAGGAATGAGTCTTTGTTACTCTAAGAGTAGAATAAGGTCAATTAGTAGGAATAACAAGGGGTCAGACGTCAGATAAACTTTAGGAATGATTTTTCAACCATAGCAATCCCTGAAAATGAACTGGTCTATCTAAAGACCAAGGGATCACCCTGTACTGGAGGATTCTAACAGCTCACCTTTTCAGTATAGATGGCAGAAGACTTCTAGCATCACATGGGATAGCGAGAACAAATCCTTCTCCCCCTGTCTACTGCAGTTCCATGAGATCATACCTGTAAGCACATTTGAGTTCTTTAGAAAAGTTGTCACCAAATTCTAAAATATTTGTGTGAAGGTATTTGTGTCTGGCTGTTTGAATATACTTTTACCTCTTTTAAAGAGGTTCTAAAACAATCACTTTAAATTTATAGATTTTCTCTAACCTTTGTATGTCACTAAAAAACCTGGTACTTGCATTTTTTTTCATATTTCAGCCATTAATTTATTTAATATTGTTCACTGTCTTATTTCCTTATATCTTCTGGCTCACTCAGAGATTCTGGATTTCTTTGACCTTGCTTGGAAAAGCCTGATAAGACAAAGATGAAAATCCTGTGTATGTGATAACTATACATTTCCTTGGAAGGGTTGCTAGTGTTGTATACACATTCAGGAAACACTTAGGTTAGTTAATATTCTAATAAGGATTAGCACTTTTCATTTATATTGCTCTTTGCATCTCAGTTCTGAAATACTTTAAAGATAAGCAGAAATCATAATCAATATTAACTCCCTAAACTTCTTTATTAATATTCAGCACATACTCTTTAGGATTGAACCAGCAGCTTATAGCCTTGGTGTGTTATTTTCAAAGAACCAGAAACTTTTATTTTAAGATGATGATTATTATCTCAATTCAACGATTTTGAATTTTTTGGTTTTGTAGGTCATTTTCAAAGTTCAGGAATGCAAGAAAGGGTGTTGTTAGTGTTATATTGGTAAAATATATCAAAGTACCAACTCCTAAATTTGCCAACATTTCCCAGTGAATTTGTAAGAATGTCTTTTCTCCAAAACCTAATATATTTGTCTGTATACTAACTTCTACATAGGGCTATGGAACACACCTGATGAATCACTTGAAAGAATATCATATAAAACATGATATCCTGAACTTCCTTACATATGCTGATGAATATGCTATTGGTTATTTCAAGAAACAGGTAAGTTTTTCACTGTGCAGCCCTGTTCTGTCATTTCTTTTCTTAATATGTACTTAGGTTAGCCTTCATCCAAATAAGTATTTCCCCTAGATTTTTCTACTTAAAAGAAGGACATACATTTATTTTTTAATCCTTAAGAGTAAGCTTCAGATTGTAGTAAAGGGTATGACCAGTACATAGTAAGTACTAAATAAATATTTTTTGAGTGAATGAATGGATGTCATCTATAAATGAAGTATAATACTGCATTCTGGAATTCTAAAACGTGGTATCCCCAGACTAAGGAGAAGTTCCCAGGCTAGGTGAGTAGAGTTCTTCATGAATGAGAGAAATAGATTCAGTCTCTGGAAAGCTTCCATTTATGACAGCAGAAAGAAAATTCTGAAGTTTATGAAGGGCTCCTGACAGTCCTTTGGCAGCATGCAGCAGGCTAGGAGCTTGGCTGTCTTTGTCCTTTCTTACCAGAAGTTTTCAGCTCAACTTTTTAACGCTTATTCTCTGGCTGCATATTTTTTAATAAAGATTTTATTTATGTATTGATGAGAGACACACACAGAGAGAGGCAGAGACATAGGCAGAAGAAGAAGCAGGCTTCCTGTGGGGAGCCCGATGTGAAACTCGATCCCAGGACTCCAGGATCATGACCTGAGCCAAAGGCAGACACTCAACCACTGAGCCACCCAGGTGGCCCCAGCTGCATTTTTTTTTAAATAGTGCTTTATAATTCCTAAACATTTTCATTTCGTTTTCTAACTACAAAAGTAAAGTTATTGTAGAAATTTTGGAAGACACAGTAATGCAGAATGAAGAAAAATCACTTGTACTTCTACCACCCATAGAGATTTACTGTTAATGTTTTGATATATATACCCTTCTAACAATTGTTCTATGTGTGTGTTCATGTGTGTGTGTATATATATATGTATATTATATGTATATATAAATATAAAGCTTGGCTCATATTATATGTAATTTAATAACTTTCTGATTATCATTTATATAATTTTTGATGGTTCTCTGAAGTTTTATGGTATAATTAGAAAATAATTCATTAAACCAATACTACAGTTTTAGGACATTCAGGTGTTTCTTATATTAAGTGTACATTATAAGTATACAACATTAATTTATGAGAACTCTTTGTATATGAGGATATCAACCTTTTATGATTTTTCTCCCATTTGTCAGTTGTTTCAACATTGCTATGACTTTTGATGTACAGATTTTTAAAGATTTCATTACATAAAATCTATTATCTTTTTTTTTATAAGTTTTATGTGACTAGAGAGTTTTTCCTCCTCTGATATCAGATAGTTAATCTCCTATTTGTTTTCTTCTCATTCTTTGGGATGTGTCTCTGACTTTTATAATAAAATTCATTAGGGAGAACTCATTGGGATTGTCAACTGAAGTTTTGAGTGTCAGCTTTCTTAGACTGCAAATGTCTTGTGAAGCTTGAAAATCAGTCATGACTTGATGGGATGAGCACTGGGTTATACTATATGTTGGCAAATTGAATTTAAGTTAAAAAAATAGGAAATCTGTTATGGTTCTTAAATAACTTGTCTGTAGTCCTCTTTGAGGATGATGGCAATGATTGCTTGGAAAATCAGTTTTTGCTGAAAGGGAGGCAGGAAACTGCTGATGATAGTTCTGGATTCCAAAATAACTTACTGTAAAGAACTGAAATAGGTACTATAAGGAAAATTATGTTTATATTATAAATATATGAATATACAGCACCAGGTTATTGCAGATTAAAGTATATAAATGAATATATTGCAAGTAAATGTTACTGACACAACTATACATTATGATGGTCTAGAAATTTTTGCCTATACAGTAGGGGTTTCATTTCCTCAACATCAAAGTTCTAATTATTATATAAATATATATATATATTTTAAAGATTTTATTTAAAAATAAATAAGGGAGGCAGGAAACTGCTGATGATAGTTCTGGATTCCAAAATAACTTACTGTAAAGAACTGAAATAGGTACTATAAGGAAAATTATGTTTATATTATAAATATATGAATATACAGCACCAGGTTATTGCAGATTAAAGTATATAAATGAATATATTGCAAGTAAATGTTACTGACACAACTATACATTATGATGGTCTAGAAGTTTTTGCCTATACAGTAGGGGTTTCATTTCCTCAACATCAAAGTTCTAATTATTATATAAATATATATATATATATATATTAAAGATTTTATTTTTAAGTAATTTCCATACTTAAAGTGGGGCTCCAACTCACAACCCTAAAATCAAGAGTACTATGCTCTGGGATGCCTGGGAGGTTCAGTTAGTTAAGCAGCTTAGGTTGTGAATTCAGGGTCATGAGATCAAGTCCCACATCAGGCTTTGTGCTCAATATGGAGTCTGCTTGGGTTTCTCTCTCCCTCTGCCCCTGACCCTGCTCTCTCTCGCACTCTCTTGCTCTCTCAAATAAATAAAATCTTAAAAAAAAAAAAAAAGGGAGAGAGAGAGAGTTGAATGCTATATTGACTGAACCAGCCAGGCACCCCTAATTATTATATTTTTTTGATAAGCTTTTCTTTCAGAACTTAGATCAGTTCTGATTTGTTGAGAATCCTGGGGTCCCCTTCCCAGTTTGGGAGAAATTGTGCAGTTTATTATTTATTTTATTTTATTTTTTTAAGATTTTTTTTTTATTTATTAGAGAGAGAGAGAGAGAGAGAGAGAGAGAGAGACAGGCAGAGACACAGGCAGAGGGAGAAGCAGGCTCCATGCAGGGAGCCAGACGTGGGACTTGATCCCGGGTCTCCAGGATCAGGCCCTGGGCTGAAGGCGGCCCTAAACCACTGAGCCACTGGGTCTGCCCAAATTGTGCGGTTTAATATAAAACTCAATCTTATATTAATTCTGTTAAAAATCATTTAGTGATTTACTAGGATTTTTTAAATGTCTTCCTGTTTGCACAGTTTGATTTTAATGTTTCTGAACTCCACAGAGGGGTTTCATGTTAATCCTTTCCAGAATGGTATGATGACAACTTGAAAGAAGTGTACTTTGCTGCCTACCATATGGTTTACATGCAGCAGAAATTTGATGCACAACAGCCATTATGAATGAATTTATTTGCTTTGCAGGGCTTCTCCAAAGAAATTAAAATACCTAAAACCAAATATGTTGGCTACATCAAGGATTATGAAGGGGCCACTTTAATGGGATGTGAGCTAAATCCCCGGATCCCATACACAGAATTTTCTGTCATCATTAAGAAGCAAAAGGAGGTAAACATGTGACCAACTCCTCTTCCTTTCCATGCAGGCCAGTCTTCTTTGGGTGAGTTGTGCATCCCTGGGCTGTGTGGATGGCTCTACTGCATATCATAATTTCAGTTTGCTGTGGTTTGTATAGATTTCTTCTTTGATGGTATCCTTGATCTGTTTCCTCTCTAGGCACCATTCCTAAAAGGGTCAACACTTGTTAAATTTGTGTAAAACACAAAACTTGTAAAATATGAGGATATCTTACCTGTACCTTCAAGACCTTTTACACTCTAGCCTCATCGACCCTTCCCAAATTTCCCTCTTGGCTTATCTAAACTCGTCTCTAAAAGTCATTACTGATGCTTTAAGCCTGGTCTTAATACATTACTCCCCTCACTCTCCCAACACACACACAAATTGGAATGCTGCGGCCTGTGTTCAGTTTCTCCTTTGAACTTCTCTAGCACGAGTTTGTTCCACTTACTTGATTTTTGTTATTTTTCCTCTTATGTAGGTATTTATCTCAGGGTTTATTCATGTCTGCTTTTAACATTGCAACTTCTGAAGGCCTGTATTTCTAGGAATTCAGTAACTTGTTATCTGATTCTGGGGTGAGGTCTTTTATGCATATAAACAAAAACAGGAACAGTGAGAGGACAGGTTGATAGATATGACAACATGGTAATTTTACATTTGTCTAAGACAGAAGAAAAGACCATAAAAAGAGCATAATTGGGGAGGGTGCAGAGGCTGTTTATTAAATGAATGAATTTTATGTTAAGCCCAGGATCACCTTTTTGCTACCCCTAGTTTGTTGGAGTTCAGCAATGGGCTTTGAGGCTGTGACATCCCTCATCAATTCCACTTTATACCTCGTTATTCATTCTAGTGTCCTTTTTCCCTAGCAAATAACTGAAAAAGACATCTGTCTTCAACCCATCTTTGTTTTCTGGTTTCTACTAATGTCCCTTAATCCCAATTCTTAGTTGTTTGTCAGACATCATTGACATAACAGGCATAAAACTTGACATAACAGGCACAGGGTCTGGTGCATAGTAGGTGCTCAATAAATATTTCCCTTTTTCTTAAAGGGGAAGAGGGGAAGGCCAGGCTTGTTCTTATGAATGTGAGTGAAAAGCCTTTTTTTTGAGGGGGGGGGTATAGAAAATAAAAACAACCTTTGTTGTGTCTTGCTCAGAGATGCCAGCCTTAGAGAGAATTCCAAATAGGGTACTTGGAGAGTTAATAAAAGCACAGCAGGCTCCTTTCTCTGTCTCTTTCTGAAGAGCTAGCTTTCTTCATTGTTCTCTGGAGTTTAATGAGCAGGTCTGTATTCAACAGCTCTGTGTTCAGCATGAGGGGCTGCTGGCCAACTAGAGCCATCACCAGGCAGTCAGCTGCCCTTCCCTCCTTCCTCCTCTGACAGCACCCATACATCTTTGGTGGAAGCAGAGAGCAGGATTCCCCTGCAGATTCGCCTAGTCCGGATCTGTTAGCTCTTACCACGTACAGGGGGAAGCCACAAATAGCTAGCAAAAGCAGTCAGTTGTTTAGAAGATAATGCTTCCTCCCCTTCCTCTTTCTCCTCTCCTCTTGGATCTCATCTCCCTCTCTCCTCACCTTCCCTGTTTGCCTCCAGCCTTAACACCCACTCCTGAGTGGATGATGGAGGCTGGGAGCTAGCTGTGAACCTAGTTTTTTTCAAAGAAACCTGAAGTCACCATAATAAAATATTGTGTAGGATCTTCTTCCACAGAATTCAAATGATTTTCACAAGGGTCTTTATTCCAACTTTTGAAAACCCCCTTGCCACAGACAGAGACTAATGATAGTAACAAATAAGTTATTTGTATATGGAGGGCTTTCCTGGCCCCTGAAAGTATGCAAGAGCAGAGTAAGTTGTGGTTGTGGCTAGTAGAGATGGAGAGAGAAAGCTAGTACAGTTGGACAGGGGAGCAGGGAGTTGAGGGCCACTTTGTGAGTGTTGACTCCAAGGGGAGAGTGGGTTCCATAGGGGCCTAGCATCATTAGAGGTGTCTTCATGGGAAATATGTTTTGAACTGTAGTAAGCCTGCTAAATCCCAGCAGCATGGGCGAAGATTCAGAATCCAACATAAGTAGATTCATGGGCAGCTAGGATCATAGGTGTGCTGGTGATAAAAGCCACTATATGAGAAAGTGTGAGTAGGTCATGAGCCAGCGGAATTGAGTGTATATATGTGGAAGCGGGGGTGGGGTGGGGCGGGGAGTGCTGGGAGGGGATACTTCTCAAATCTTCATCCAAGTGTGAGACAACAAGGGACTGGATTCAGAGGATCCAAAGTAATTGTGAGGCCAGCCAATGTGATTTCTTTGTAAGAACACCTGCTAAGACTTGGTAGCATATTAAAGATGGGGGAAGATCTGTTTGGGAAGACTAAAACTGAAGGGATGATACAGGAGAAGGATCTGAAGAAAGATGATGACATGGTGGAGAAGTGGACACATTTTCGAAGGAGGTAAAGATAAAAAACTGAAACAGAAGTAAAGTGTCCCCTTTCTCCAGAGCAACCGTGGGAGGCACAGAGGGGTTAAGACGTCATTATGAGTCACTCACCAGGATCCTTCCACTTTCAAGGTGCTTCACAAGGTTTATGGAAGCCATTGGGGTGGGTTATCACATCTGAGAAAAATCCCTGATAAAGAGAAAAAGTTTTACAATTATATTCAAAATTATATTTTCTAAAGGTGTTTAAGAGACTACCATTGGGATTCTCTTTCCAAAAGACTTAGACTGGGGAGGGGTGCCTGGCCAGCTCAGTCAGAAGAGCATCCAATTCTTGATCTTGGAGTTGTCAGTTCAAGCCCCACATTGGGTGTAGACATTACTTAAAAATATTTTTCTGGGATCCCTGGGTGGCGCAGCGGTTTAGCGCCTACCTTTGGCCCAGGGCGCGATCCTGGAGACCCGGGATCGAATCCCACGTCGGGCTCCCGGTGCATGGAGCCTGCTTCTCCCTCTGCCTGTGTCTCTGCCTCTCTCTCTCTATCTGTGTGACTGTCATAAATAAATAAATAAAAATTAAAAAAAAATAAAAATATTTTTCTTTTTTTTTCGATTAATTTTTTTTTTTTTTTTTTTTTTTTAAAGAGAGAGTGTGCATGCGTGCTAGTGGAGGAAGGGGGCAGGGTAAGAGAAACTCAAGCAGATTCTCCATCGAGCTGGATGCCTTGCGGGGCTGGATCCCACAACCCTGAATTCACTACCTGAACTGAAATCAGGAGGGGGGGTTGCTTAACCAACTTAACCCAGGTGCCCCCCCAAAATAAAATCTTTTTTGAAAAAAATAAAAAGACTTACACTCAAATAGACAAAGGGAGAACATCCATTTAGATCTATCCTGTCCAAAGTGACAGCCACTAGCTATATATGGCTTTTGAGCATTTGATATGTGGCTAGTTGAAATTGAAATGCACTTACATATAAAATATACTCTGATTTTGAAGATTTGTTAGGAGTAAAAGAATGTAAAATACACATTTTTTTTCTATAGATTATATGGTGCAGCAAGAATATTTTGGACATAATGGATTAAATAAAAGTGTGTTGTTAAGATCCAATTTTACCGGTTACTTTTTACTTTAAAAAATGTGGCTACAGGAACATTTAAAATTATATAAACAGATTGCATTATATTTCTGTTGCACAGCAGTAAACTAGATTTACCAGGAATATACTTTTACTAGTCCCATTCACTTTAGGAAGCTCTTTGTTTAATTGTTAGGATTAAAATGCATTCATGCTGGAGCCTTTACCAATGATGATACGTTTGAGATCAAGCTGTTAGGAACTGGAATTTTTGTTTTCCTTTGCACCTTCAATTAGGGACTGCTACCGAGTGTTTTTTTTTTTTTCTCTCTTCAAATTTGTATTTAAATTCTCATTAGTTCACATATAGTGTAATAATTGATTTCAGGAATAGAATTTAGTGATTTGTCACTTACATACAACACCCAGTGCTCATAACAGGTGTCCTTCTTAATGTCCATCCCCCATCTAACCCACCCCCTTACCACCACCTCCATCAACCCTCAGTGTGTTTTCTACTGTTAAGAGTCTCTTATGGTCTGTTTCTCTCTCTCTTTCTCTCTCTCTCTCTCTCTTTCTCTTGTTTTTTTCTTTTCCAAAATGCAGTTATGACAGTTAATCTCTGGATAGCTATTTTTAATTATTTTCTTTTTTTTTTTAAATGGGAAACTGCACTGTTTTGGAAATAGTTAACCTTAGTACATTAGGAATTATTGTACAAAACAAACACCTCTCCAAAATCCCTAATCCATCCTGGCTGCTTACACCAGGAGTTGTGTTGCCTCACCAATTTGGAGCTGCTTTTTTTTATGTAAACAGTATGGGTTAGGGCTCATGCCTTGGAATTTTTAAATAATAATGTGTGCCTTCTAATCCAAAAGGGAACAGTTAGTTCCCAGTTGGGGAATGTGAAGAGATCCTGGGGCCGGGGCTGGGCTGGGTAGCTGATGCACAGGGCCGCTTTGCTGTTCCCCAGAGAAGACAGGGCACAGTAACTGGCTTCTGTGATAAAGAGGACAGTGTGCCCTAAGGGCAGTGTGTCCTCTCAATATTGGCTTCTTTGATGGCTGGGGACAAGTATTCAAAGGCGGTTGTGTGAATGCCACTAGAGGGGGCGACCCATAGCAACGTTTTCACACCTTACCTGTTCAGTAGCTTTCACTCTTTCTCACCCTTTTTGTGTCTTGAATGAAGACTTTATTTAGGAGACTAAGACTTCTTGGGTTGACTGATTTCATCCATGGCCACAGACTCTGTCACTATAAACATGTTCTCTTCCTGTCCTTTACAGATCATTAAAAAGCTGATAGAAAGAAAACAAGCCCAGATTCGAAAAGTATACCCTGGACTTTCCTGTTTCAAAGATGGAGTTCGACAGATCCCAATAGAAAGCATTCCTGGAATTAGTACGTACAGACCTTTTGTTCGAAGCAAAGTCTTTTGGTGATGCCATGAGATGTGTTTGAAACCATTGCCAGGGTGCAGCGATTTGGAGAGCTTTTTGCCTTGCCTGTCTCCATCTGTGGTGTTTGTAGTCTTAAGAAGGGAGGACTTTTCCTTTGTGCTTAGTGCAAACAAATCAAGGAGAACAGGGATCCCTGGGTGGCGCAGCGGTTTGGCGCCTGCCTTTGGCCCAGGGCGCGATCCTGGAGACCCGGGATCGAATCCCACGTCGGGCTCCCGGTGCATGGAGCCTGCTTCTCCCTCTGTCTGTGTCTCTGCCTCTCTCTCTCTCATTCTATGTGACTATCATAAATAAAAAAAAAAAAAAAAAAAAAAAAAAAATTAAAAAAAAAATCAAGGAGAACATAGATGACCCCGTCTCATAGCTGTTAATATCCATCATTTTTTCAGAGATGGCTATGTATAGCCTGGGGGGGAAGTCCACTTTTACAAATGGGGAAATTGAGTTGCAAAATGGTTAAGTCCTTTGACCTCATAGAGCACATGGCCTGCAGCTGTCAGAATGAGAAGCAGAGGCATGCTACTCTGCAAACCTGTTACTGTTTGCATCCTTGCTCATCGCTGTCATCGTTGCAGCCTGCAGAGGCCCCTGCTTGGCCAGATTCCTCTCTCCACATTTCAAAAAAAGATTATTGGAAAACATATCATTTGTTTGGAGTTCCCTATTTTCGAGTAGTTTCCCCAGGGTTCTTACCTGTGAGTGTTAGAGATGAATCTTCTTTGGTGAAAATATGTAATATAGCTGTTTTTGAAAGCTATTGAGTAGCCACACTTCCATTTCAAATCCGAGATCTTCTAGTATATTGAAGATTTAATACACGACACAAAACCAAACACACTACAGTTCTCCAGAAAAAAAAAATAAGACCCTATTTGGGCAAGTGATATTCCTTCAATACGATAGCTACCCTATAACAGATCTTATTTTTACTTATAGACCTAGAAATTTCACTTCCCCTATATTATCCCTGTTAAGGGCAGAATAGCTGTCATATTGCTGAATGCCTATGTGTGCGAGGCATTCTTCTGTTTAGTTTTTTACATACATCCACTCTTCTCAAAAGGAATGACGGCATCTAATTTTTAGAGTTCTGCCTTATAGGTTGATAAATTATAGAGGCGAATTGTTAAGTAACTTATCTAGGATAAATTAGCTTTTTTTTTTTTTAAAGTTTCTGCTTGCCTTTTTTTTTTTTTTAAAGATTTATTTATAAATGAGAGAGAGAGAGAGAGAGAGAGAGAGAGAGGGAAAGGCAGAGACACAGGCAGAGGGAGAAGCAGGCTCCATGCAGGGAGCCCCACGTGGGACTTGATCCTGGGTCTCCTGGATCAGGCCTTGGGCTGAAGGCGGCGCTAAACCGCTAAGCCACCGGGGCTGCCCCAATAAATTAGCTTTTAAGGAGAGAGCAAGAAATCAAGTCCAGGTCGATTGGACTTAGGCTGTGTTTTCTTTCTGCTGCACTAAACCATCTTCTATTAAAAGCAGGGTCTTTGCCAAATAAAACAGAGACCGGGACAAAGTTTGTCCTAACCTAAAAATAACGGTTTAATTCTTTCACCTGGTGATTAGCAAAAAATGTTGATTTAGAGTTTAAAATATACATACACCCCCAGTCCTGGATGTCTTTGTTTTTTTATGCTTTCCTCTGAAAAGTTGGGAGTTCCTGCTTTTAAAAAACACTAACAGAAAGTGCTGTTGGCCGTCTTGGAAATGTTTCACGCTGCAAACTGTAGAAGGAAGTAACTAATTGCAGTTGATTTCTGTCTCTTCCCAGAAATAGACTTTTACTGAGGCATGCTTATAATTTATCTTATTTTTGATAAGTATTTTGTTATTCTCTTGACCAAAAGCAGTTCTCATTTAGTGTTTAATTTCGTTGATATATAGGAGAGACAGGCTGGAAGCCGAGTGGAAAAGAGAAAAGGTAAGTAAGATGGGTGAGAGGACATGAAGGGAAGTGATTTTTCTTTCCTCTCAGCACCTTAGAGGAAGTGGGCAAGCTGCATGTAATCACCCATTACAGCACTTGCTATGTTTCAGTTTTCGTTAAAAAATTCTGGGATGGTTCCCATTTTAGGTTTTTGTAAAAATAAGCGGAATAGGAATCGCCTGGCAAGAGGGCAAAAAACTAATCATTGTTCCCTGTTGTTACTCTTTTCCTTTCAAGTAAAGAGCCCAAAGACCCTGACCAGCTTTACAGCACGCTCAAGAGCATCCTCCAGCAGGTGAAGGTGGGTGTTTTCTTTTCATTCACTACATGCAGATATTTTTGAAATGATTTCCCACATGGAATTTCCATATTAGATACCTTACTTTTTTCTTTACTCAAGAGCCATCAAAGCGCTTGGCCCTTCATGGAACCTGTGAAGAGAACAGAAGCTCCGGGATATTATGAAGTTATAAGGTTCCCCATGGGTAATGCCATTAACCTTTTCTAAGTATAGATGTAACACTCTCTGGATGGCGGTGTGGGGGACAAAAGGTTGCTGAGGTTGATTGGTGCTCTTCTGTTGTAGGGTAGAATGTGTGCTGGGTGGTGGGATTCCTGCACCCATGGAGGGGCAGTGGTATAGAGCAGAGTCATAAAGGACAGGTGGGTGGCTGTGTTGTTTAGATGTGCCTGCAGCCGACAGCGACAGCGCTGGAGGCAGACAGCCCAGGTGGGGAACTGCACGTAGCACGAGATGTGAACCCGGCTGTTTGGACAGAACTTTGTTTCTGTTCTACCTGATGGGTTGCAAATGGAAGACTTTAGGTTATCGTCCTGACGTATTTTGAGCCCTTTGAGGGTCTTTAAAAGCGATACAAAGTTGGATTAAGCTGCTTGCCTGCTATACTAGCGGAGGGAGAAAGTCTAGTAACTCAGTTCTCGATTTTCCATGCTCTTGATGGATACTATTAGTGTCACTATTTATACTCCCTTTAAAAGCTTTGTCCCACATCCAAGACCAAACAAAAAATTCCTTTAGAAATGTAGAGTTGTGGAATTTGCTGCTGTGCCGACCCATGCTAAAGTGATTAATTGAAGTAATTGAGCATCCGATTAAACTAGTTCGGCATTGTGTAGATGATAGACAACTAGCTGAAATGTTTTCAGTCAGTGGTGTGGCCATTATTTTGGAGACAGCCTGTGTCTTCTGTTCCTTTTCTATCTACTTGCAGTCTGTTCTTGGTACTAAGAAGGTTTTAAAATCTGAAAGGAAGAACAAAAGGGATACTTTCGCTCCCTGATAAGAGAGTTATTTGTAGGTGTTTTCGATAGCATTAATTTTCACATGAATGTTCTATAGAGTCATTATAATGGTTTTGGTAGTCTGTACTCCATAAAGTGGACCCACACCCATATGCTTTTCTCTTTTCTCTCTGCCTTCTCTTTATTTCAGTTATGAAAACTGAAGTGTGAGGGTTGAGTGAGTCTAGAATTCAGAATGGAAGAGAGTTTGGGGAATTTTCTTTTCTCTTTTTCCTTTCTTAAAGGTTTTATTTTTAAGTAGTTTCTATACCCAAAACAGTCGCTCGAACTCACAGCCCTGAGAGATCAAGGGTTGCAGGTCCTGCTGACTGAGCCAGTCACATGGCCCTCAGTCTTTTGTATCATGTAAAAAATGTGTTAAAACTCTTTATGCCCATTTCCAAACTTAACTGACCTTTGCATCCTCATCCCCTGGACCATCTCAGCTTCTTTTAATGAAACTCTCATAGGAGGTTGTATGACTCTGGGGAGAATAACTAGCTTTCAGCCCTGCTCATGTACACTCTGAAGACCTGCAAAGGTAGGTCCAGAAGATCTTGTCTGTCATCGCCTACTCTCAGCCTGCTTTCTGGAAGTGTTTTGCTTGGTCCAGCCTGGGAAGGGTATGAGCCTCTCCAGTTGGATACCACCTATGTGCATGGCTGAATGCTCATGAGGGGAATGTCAGCCCCTTTGAGCAAGACCAGTGGTGGACTGAGGTGTGTTCTAGACAAAGTTAAAACAGTGGACGGTGCTGTTTAGGGGAGCAATAGTATTTTTCTTTGAGTGCCTCTAGGTGCTGCTGAGTGAAATGTGTAGTCTTGCCCTTAAGATAGTCATGTTTTTGAGAACAAGATTGACAAATCAGTAATTTTACTTTCCTCCATTATTGCCTTCTCAGCTTTTTCTAAAATATTTTTCTTCTCTTTTTCTTGTGCTCTCAAAAACTCTTTTTCTCCCATATGAATGAGGTCTAACTTGTGTCATTTGGGGAATCTCATTCAGAACATTGTCTGAATAGTTTAGTCCAAGCTTGTCTTCTTACCATGCATGGATTGCTACACAGGGTTTTCCTATTTATCCAGAACTCCTGAGTTGGTGGGAGGGATGAAGGTAGAATAATTTAATGAGTAGAATAGTTTTATGGAGACATACGTGGTATCACTGATAATTAATCACCTTTTTAAACCCATGTCATTTGATCAGCTAAGCCCTCTAATAAAGCTAGAGGAGAAGGATGTTATTTGTAACTTAATAGAATAGAAATATAGAAAGGAAATATGCAATATGCAGAATAGATTGTAATTATTCTGAAAGATCCAAAAACTTCTATTTTGTTTCTGCTATATTTTAGGCTCTCCCCAGCTCTTACTTCCTCTCTTCCAGTTAATAGCTTGAAAGCTTTTGGATAAACATCTTTGTATTTATTCTTTTTTTCCCCTTTTGGTTACATAGCTCTTTATATATTGGACAGCATATCTTAAGTGGTAGGCATGTAGGTGGTAAGGTAAATATCTAACTTTACCTGGAGAGGCACAATTAATTTCATTGCTCTTTTTTTCATTTTATAAGAAGACATCTTATTCTCAGTCACAGTGAGGTGAGACATCTAGTGGGTTATTTGCTGAGCCTTTATAAAGTATCTTAACACTTGCCAATTTATCTCACCTTCCAAACTGTTGTAGTTAGAGAAGAAAGAAAATTAAAAGTTGTACTTACAGATGTGATGGCATACCACTACCCAAGAGAAGCTTTAGTCAAAGGCAAAAGTACACATTTCCCATTTTTTCTTTGGTGTTTTATGGTATATTTAAGATTTTGATGTAAATGAATTCTCCCCATTTTTGGATGTTGCACATAAATTTATATATTTCACTAACAGATGACCCTGATGTATTTAGTAAGTTTCTTTCCTTCTAGAAAATTTGATAATATAGTGGGAATTGGGGTTATTGGTAGAGGTGTTTCTTTAGTAATTTTGACTTATTTTTCCATGCACAGTTAATATAATTTTTAATGACAGAACCAGACTCAGAGACAGGTAGGGACCAATAAGTAAATGAATGTTAGTATCTTCTTTTTTAAGATTTTATTTATTTATAATTTTTAAAAAAGATTTATTTATTTATTTGAGAGAGATATAGAGAACTAGAGCCAGAGGAGAAGCTGAGGGTGAGGGAGCAGGAGAGAAATAGACCCCGGCTGAGCGGGAAGCCTGATACAGAGCTCCATCCCAGGACCCTGAGATCATGACCTGAGCTGAAACCAAGAGGTGGTGACATAACCGACTGAGCCACCCAGGTGCCCCTGTTCATATGAGAGAGGAGAGGGAGAGTGTGTGCACATGGGGGGAGGGGCAGAGGGGAAAAGAGAGAAAGAGAGAGAATATGAATCTCAAATAGGCTCCACCCTCAGCGCAGAGCCTGATGTAGTGCTCAATCCTATAACCCTGAGATCATGACCTGAGCTGGATTCAAGAGTTGGACACTTAACTGAGCCACCCAGGCACACCCAAATGTTAACATCTTTTAATCTTTATGGAATTCTTTAAATCAGTTCTAAGAGTGAGAAGTAAACAAGCTCCAGAATATTCTTACAAGTTTAGATAAAGTACTGTTTTCATTTGTAAAATAATACAATTTAAAGCAAATAAATATACTGGGGAAATATTTTTATAATAGTCTCTCAAGGCTTACTTGCTTTAGAAAATAAATTATTGTTTTTTTTTTTTTTTTTTTTTTACTGCCTGTGATTCTTATTTCATGAACAGAGCATGAAACTAAATTCATTTGAACTATTTCATATGCAAGGATACTGTTTTATCTGTAGACTTATTTATGATCAGTTTTTCTACTTTAGTTCTGTCTCTACAGCACCAAAATGAACTGTGAATTTAATGAAACAAACTCAGTCTTATTGTTTGGATTTAAGTAATGAAACGATTCAGACAAATGTTCCACCTGCTGTATTCCGTGTGGATAGAGCCTCTTCTGTATAATTCTGAATGAATAGCTAACAGTGCTCAGTTTATACTTTTCGCTGCTAATCTACTTAGCTTCCTTGTGCTGAATAGGGGATTGGGCCAGATGACTAATAATGGTCCCTTCAATGTGAAAATGCTGTGATTTTACACAAGAAGCCCTCACAACAGAAACAACATAAGATTTAAGAACTGTTTGCCTTGATCCTATGACTGTCTCCTAATGGAGGGCATTGGGATGGTAAAAATGTAGCCAAACTGATGACATACATTTCTCTCCCTGTCTCCCTTTTGTCAACTGGTGTTTAAAAGGAGTCAAAGATTGCTAATATTTTTTTTTCCTGTGCAGATCTGAAAACCATGAGTGAACGGCTCAAGAATAGGTACTACGTGTCTAAGAAATTATTCATGGCAGACTTACAGCGAGTCTTTACCAATTGCAAAGAGTACAACCCCCCTGAGAGTGAATACTACAAATGTGCCAATATCCTGGAGAAATTCTTCTTCAGTAAAATTAAGGAAGCTGGATTAATTGACAAGTAATTTTTTCCCCCTCTGCTTCTTAGAAACTCATCAAGCAGTGTGCCTAAAGCAAGGTGGCTTAGTTTTATAAAGAATTGGACATGATGTATTGAAGATACTTGTAAATGTAATAATTAGCACTTTCGAAAAACAAACAAAAAAACCTCTTAGCTTTTCAGATATGTATTTAAAGTGAAGTCATAGAACATTTTTATTTTATGGAATAGATTTTAATCTATTTACTACTCTTAATGTAAATTTTCTATGGCATGTCCATTAGCTGAATATTCAATAATAGATGATCAGGGGTTTCCTCAAAACCTGTGTATGAGGAAATTGCACATAGTACCAAGATTTGGGGGAATGCAGAAACCTTTCAGACCATGAATGTTTCCATTTTTTTCTAATGGAATGTGAGAGTTTATTTTTATTTTATTCTGAAGGACTTTAAGGAAGGGATACATGATAAAGCCTGTAAAAGGTGAAATATGTGATGTTTGAAGTCTCATTGTAGACATTTTATATATATTTTTTAAAAACACTCATCTAGATGAGGTGCTTTGAGCAGTTCTGAAAAATGCAGTTCCAGAAAAGTAACTGCCTTGATTCCTAAGGAAGAAATTCTAAATAATGCAAACTTTTTTATAAGCATCTGGGTTTTTGATAATTCTGTCTACTTACAATAAACTTGTGAGCACATAACCACTATTTTAATAATTATTTTCTCTACACAAATGTGTAATATTATATTTGACTTTGCTTATGCAGGCCATAAGTTCCAAAAGGCAATCTCCTGATGCACAGAGGCATATGTTTAAAAACACTTGAGATTGAATCAACATGCTTTAATAAGAAAAGATGCATAATCTACATATGTATCAAATTTGGTGAATCCTTGTTCTAACGAATAAGGATTTTTTTCTCCTTTTCTATGATATACACAACCCCACTGATAATGTATTAAGTGAACATTTTTCCTTTTCCATCTCCAGATTATATTCATTGTCTGAGGTGAATTAAATCACCAAAATTTGCTGTCAGTATTTTAACACCTACATTGGAAGACAGACCCAGGGTAATATCCCACTAAAGTCCATCATGCAACCTTATTAACTGGTCTTGGGATTCCGGCTTAGTGCTTGGGTTTATTTCCTGATTAACACTACATAGAAAAGTGGGACATCTGCCATCCCAACTCTGGGAGAACCAACTAATATCAAACAAATGAAGGCCATTTTGATGGTCTTTGACACTAATTTTTATGATACAAATTTATAAACTGATTTTTGTAAAGGACTAGGTTTTAAAAGTATATTTAACTTGATGTTTTCTATCAGCATAAATGAATTAAAATGATCATTTAATAGTTGTTAAAAACAGTTGCCAGAGATAATCTGCAAGAAGGAAGAAAATCTGCAAATGGCTGTTAAGTGGGAAGTATTATGTTTTTAAGATGTAAGAGATATTCAGAATGCTCACACTGAAAATTGCCTCAACTTTTTTAAGTATAAGAAACCACCCTGAGTGGCATCTAGATTTCTAATGAAGAATGATGATACAGTTTGGATTAAGTATCTTGGACTGGTTTTAAACAGTGCTTTGTACTGAATCTGCTGAAGCATCTGTCCAGCTTGGTATCCTGTGAAAGTTTGTTATTTTCTGGGTAGACATTCTTATAGAGTATTGTCTTTAAAATCAGATTGTCTCTTCTATATTGAAAGCATTTTTATGTTTTCTAATTTAAAAATTAATATTTTCTTATAGATATTGTGCAATAAAGCTGAAGTAGGATGTGTGGTTTTTGCAAATGCTTTAACAGCGGATAAAATTTTACATTTGTAAAATTAATATATTGTACTGGTACAACATAGTTTTAAATTATATTTTAAAAAGCTCTCAGTTTGGTGTTGTGTTTTCTTCTTCTAGCCCATTAAATTTAACAGGGCAAGTGTATGATCTGGTTGATGACCATCGACTATGTCCATAATTCTTAGATTTTAGGCGTCTTGTTGAAGATGTTTAGAATTGTTGCGCTTGTTAGAAGTTTCATAAGAATTCACAGCCCCACCAGTGAGAAAAGTTCATGAGACACTTGAGTGTGTCTGTGTTTTTTGGGTGGTCCACTGTGCATCTTGCCCACTGTCATTCATTAAACAAAAAAAATCCCAGTGAAAGAAGAGTGTTATTGGTTTAGAAATTAAAGTTTTTTCCCAGTTTTTCTACTGTGCATCTGTGAAATAGATCAATGAAGACATAAGAAATACAGCTGATTCTTACATATTTCATAATGAGCTTATAATGTCATTCAAAATGCTGACTGCATGAAGGAATACTGTATCCTGTTGGGAGTATGAGAGAACCCACCAAAGAATACTTTTTCTTTCTGAATCCTGAACCAAGTGAGAAGTCAAAAGAATAAGGCATATGATGGCAAAAATATCTTTATTAATAATAAAATGGACATTGGAGAATATGGCTTATATATCTGTGGGAAATGGACTAATATAGAACCCATGAATGTGATTGGCTCACCAATAGCTTTGCACCCCTGTCAACTTCCCCTCCAAGGGCAGGGCCTTTGCCATTAAATTTAGTGCATAGCCAACAACAATGGTGCTCTCTGAAGGAAGGCCCACTCTGAAGACGCACAGGTGAGGGAGCAGCCATACAGGACAGTCCAGGGCCTAAGTAACTCAATTAGATAATTCCCTTACAGGGGAGGGATAAATAAGGGCAGAGGGAAGCCACAGGGTGATGTCCTTCCTTCTAAGAAATGTAAACATCTGGATTGTAGAATATGTCTCCTTTCCACTCCATTCCCGTATATCCATATAAAACATTGCTATAAAGTTGTATTATTCAACACATGTAAAAACTGGTTGTATTCATTAGAATAGTGAAAAGAAGACTTGGAGGTTTTCATATTACCTAGAAGTGAAATTTAGAATTATGAAACCTAAGAAGTAGAAACAAGATCAGACTGAGGCACTCTGGGCAGGTTAATAACGTATCACCGCTTTTAGCTGATATTCTTCAGACCAACCTCACTATTTTAAGAGATTCTAAGAGCTAAAAAGGCAGGGTTGTGGAAGGCAGCCTGTGGTCTTTTCCATATTGTACTGGACTGGTCTGTTTTGTACTGGTCCAGCCCTCATTAATTAGCAATCTCCTCTTAGCAAAGTAGAAATAATACTTTGGAGGGAGGGCTTCAACAAAGTAGAGAAGATGCTGAGAGGAGATGAGAGAACACCCATAAGTGTCATGAAAAGCTTTCTTATGTAGTTTATTTATGCCTTGGTTTCTTTATGGGAGTATCTTTACTTTTTTTTGTGGAAAAAAGCTAACAAAGCTAGAGATTTTCTCTGTGTTTATTAGAAAGTAGTATATTTCAACAAGGCAGAGAAAAGCAAGGAAACCAAAAGGCAGTGCTCCTACTCTTCCTTGTTATTGGGAAGTCCAATACAACCTTGGTAGAATTAGTTTAAAAAGATGAGAAACTACATGTCTAATTTGTATATATATGTGTGTATGTATAATCTAAGCTGAATCGAAGGTTGTCAGTTTTAACTTACGAAGGTTTGAAGTTCTTTAAGAGAAATCCCTTGGAGAATTTGTTGGAAGGTAGGGACCTTCTCAAAGTCATGCACATGTTCATGCATATGCACTTTCTGCATATCATCTTTCTAAACTTCATTGGTCTCTGTTATTTGCTCTTTGTTAACCACCCACTTTCTACAGTTAAGAGATGGGTATCCTATTTATGCTTAAAATATCTTAAGAACAGAAAATCTGCCTTTTTCCCCCAATAGAGCAGTCCAGCAACAGAATAAGCAAAGGGCTATAAGAAAGTGCTTAAGTTTGGTTAATGTTGATTGTTTTAAAGAGTTGAAGAGAATACACACATGGTTTATATGGATTTTGTGATCAAGTTCTAATTCAAATTTTCCCCTCCATACAATGCTATTAATTCAGTGTGCCAGCACGCTTCTACTCAACACACTCACTTGTGCAGCTGTAGCTTGTTTTGTGGTAAACTCAACATTCCTCCTATGTTTTTAACATTAAAAAAGAAATTGAAGTATAATGAACAATAAACATGCAATACACAGTATCATACAAAACACCTATAATACAATAGAATATACAGGTCTCAGGTATAAGGAAAAAGAAGTATTAATTTTACACAAACTTTTTCAGAAAAGATGTGGGAAGACTTCTGAAATCATTTTATGAGGTCAGTATTGTTATCCTGATATTGAAGCCAGGAAAAAAAAATTGTAAGAGAAACTTTGGTCTAACCCTCACACACACAGATGTAAAGATCTTTTTCTTTTTTCTTTTTTTTTTTTTTAAAGATTTTATTTATTTATTCATGAGAAACCCCCAGAAAGAGAGAGAGGCAGAGACTCGGGCAGAGGGAGAAGCAGGCTCCATGCAGGGAGCCCGACCTGGGACTCGATCTGGGGTCTCCAGGATCACTCCCTGGGCTGAAGGCAGCACTAACCTGCTGAGCCACTCGGGCTGCCCAGATGCAAAGATCTTTAACAAAATCTTAGCAAATAAAACTCAGCAGTATATAAAAATTTTAAGAGATCATGACCAAGTGGGGTACTTTTGATTAAGTCAAGGTGGATTTAACATTGAAAACTGATTAATGTAATTAACTGTATGAACAGCATAAAGGAGGAAAAAACATGTTCATCTCAATAGATGCAGATAAAGCATTAGACAAAGTTCAACAGTCATTCATAATTTAACAGAAAAACAGCAAACGAATGAAAGGAAACTTCCTCAATATGACAAAGGTTATCTATAAAAACTTACAGCCAACATCACAGTAATGCTGAAAGACCAAATGCTTCGAAGGTTGAGATCAAGGCAAAGGTGTCTGCTCTCATCACTTCTATTCAACATAGCAGAGGTTCTAGTGAGTGCAGTAAGGCAAGAAAGGGTATACAAGTTAGAAGTGAACTGTATTTGTAGACTATAAGGTCATGTACATAAAAAAGTTCAAAGGATCTACAAGAAAAGATAAACTAGTGAGTGATTTTAGCAAGGTCTATATAAGAAAATCAATTGTATGTCCATAAATTAGCAACAAACAAGTGGAAAATAATCTTTAAAATACACTTATAATAAGTCAATATGAAATGCTTAGGATATATTAACAAAATATGAGCAAAAATTAGACAAGACTTCTCAACAGTAAAATTAAGACCATAAGAAAATGAAATGTTGGGATAAGTAACTGTCAATTTATATCAACAGGAGTGAGGGAAAAATTAAATTCATTTCTAGAAAAAAGAATTTGACCCTCATCAAAATAACTTATAAAAGAGATGCTTCAGAAACTTGGACTTTGGAAAATCAAGTGTACAAATTAAACCATTTCAGGATAACCACTTAATAAAAATAGAAATAAAGAATGCACGAATCCAATAATAAATAGTAAAGAAGAAAAAAGGCAGAATAGAAAGCATAAAGAAAATTGATAGAAATAAATTATAGCAGTTATCACAATAAACTGAAATGGACTGGATTTGCTAGGTAAAAAATTACAACTCACTTTGGACCAAAACCAAAATCGAGTAACATGGTCTTTAATTAGTTATATCTAAAACATTAACATAGGAAGGCTTAAAGAAATGGAAAGAAAAATGATAAGTATACTAATATTAACTATATATAGGCAAATATTAACCATATAGAAGTTGCCTTACCTATATCAGATGTTACAACAAGCATTATAAGGGAAAAAGATTACAACAGCAATAAAAGGAATAGTTTTAGAAACTATTCTAGAAAACAAAATCCAGAAATTTTGTGGAAGATCTTATGTTTTTTTTTTTTTTTTTTTTTTTTTTAGCAAATGATGAAACGAGACAAAATTGCTAAGGCTATAAAAAAACTTGAAAATGTTATACACTATTTTCAACAATTAAAGAATTTATATTTTTTCTAGTACACACCGTTAAACATTTGTAAAATCTGACAACTTACTAGTCAGAAAAGATTTAATAAATACCAAAGAATCAACACTGCACAAATAATTTTTTGATGTATTACCAAAAAAAGCAGCACTCAATAACAACAGTAGAAATCTCCACTTTAAAAAATATGTAATATGCCATTAAACAGAACAGATAAATACGCAATAAAAGGTAATTTAATGAAATAGAATCAAGAATTAGGAAACTTATTTAAAAAAATAATACAAAAACTTGCCACAAAACACAGGATAAAATAGTTTTAATAGCGTTTCACTGAACCTGAATAAGTAACAATTTGTTCCATACAGCAAAAATAGAAGGTTCTCAACCAACTAATTTTATGAGGCTAGTATGGCCTTGCTACCAAAACTATATAAGGGAAAGGATATAGGCAAATTTTATTTGTGATCATAGGTATAAAAAATCCTAAGCAAAATATTAGCAAACCAATTCTACCTCTTTAAAAACAAATGGTCTTTCAAGAAAAAAATAGAAGAAAAACTTCGTGACACTGGATTTGGCAATGATTTCATGGGTAGACAAAAGCAAAGACAACATAAGGAAATACTGATAAACTGGACTTAATCAAAATTGAAAACTTTTGTGCATCAAAGGACACTGCAACAGTAAAAAGGCAACCCACATAATGGGGAAAACATTTGCATATCACATATCTAATAAGGGATTAATATCTAGAACATTTAAGGAACTCCTAAGATTCAACAACAAAAACCACCCAATTCAAAGGCAGGCATACTACTTGAATAGACATTTTGCTGAAGGCATACAAATGGACAATAAACACATGAAATGACACTTAACATCATTAGTTATTAGGGTCAGACCACAATAAGATACCACCTCACACCATTTGGGTATTATGAGAAAACACAAAACAAGTATTATCAAGAATATGGAAAAATTGGGGTCCACCAATTGGGGACACCGCTGGGTGGCTCAGCGGTTAAGCGCGTCTGCCTTCAGCTCAGGGCATGATCCTTGAGTGCCGGAATCGTGTCGCACCTTGGGCTCCCTGTCTGCCTATGTCTCTACCTTTCTCTGTGTCTCTCATGAATAAATAAAATCTTAAAAAAATATGTGGAAAAATTGGAACCCCTTTGCATTGCTGGTGGGAATATAAAATGGTGCAGCCACCCTGGAACACAAAATGTTGCTTCATCAAAATATAGAATAACTATATGATCAACAATTCCACTTCTGGATACATATATTCAAAAGAATTAAAAGCAGGAACTCAAACAGATCTATGTACCTAGACACTCATATATTCATTGCAGTATTATTTCTAGTAGACAAAAAGCAGAAACAACCCAAATGTCCATGGATACATAAAATGTGGTATATTACCCAATGGAATACTACTCACTATTCTAGTACTTGAGAACTTGAAAAGGAATTAAATTCTGTTAGGTGTGGACATAGATTAAACATTATGTTAAATGCAATAAGTAGACACAAAAGGACAAGGATTGTATAATTCCATTTATATAAAGTCCCTGGAACAATCATTTATAGAGATAGAAAGTAGAACAGTAATTACTAGGGATGGTGGGGGTGGAGTAAATGGATAGTTGTTTAATGGGTACAGGGTTTCAGTTGGGGATGATGAAAAAGTTCTGGAAATGGATAATGGTGATGACTGCACAACAATGTGAATGTACATAATATTACTGAACTATACATTTAATGTATATAAACAAACAAACAAAAAAAACCGTGACTATACAGTACCCAGCCCATAGCTAGACAAAGAAACCAAGAGAAAGAAACCTCGATGTATGTCAAAGACAGCAAGATAGATTAGTCCATGAATAGTGCTGGGACAATTGGGCTATTCTCATGGAAAATGAAATAAAATCAGATCCTCATCTGACAAAATACCATAAAGTTTAAAGACCTACATGAATAAGAAAAACTACAAATTTTAGAGAAAAACCTTAAGGGAAAAGGTGATAGAGAACATTAATATTTAAAATTCCTGAACATCAAAAAACATAAAAAAGGTAAAAATAAAGTGGAAACATAGTTAAAGCCCGTGTAAATAAAAACAAGGAATACTAGCCAGAATATATAAAGAACCCATTCTATTAAGAAAAAGACATTTTTAATTGAAAAGTGGGCAAATTATACAATAAGCAATTCATAGAAGGTTAAGTGACTAATAAAACATTTGAATTCTCCAAGTAATTAACTCAATGAAATAACATCTCATAAGCAAGTAAAACAAAGAGAATCCATTTCACATTCATTACTTGAGGTAATTTCAATGTCCGATAGTACTGAGTGATAATGTGTGAGGAAACCGGAACTTATAAATTGCTGATAGGGTGATACACTTCTAGTGTCAGGTGAATTGGTACAACCACTTTAGGGAGCAACTCCCCTTCTAGGTACCAACTCCATGGAAACTTATTCACGTGTGTGCAAGAATGTAGAATATTCACCACAGCACTAATTTGTAATTATGAAAAAGTGGAAGCAAATTGTCTCTCAAAAGAATAAATCTAGTTTATTTACATAATACTATACAATGATGAGAATGATCTACATCTGCCAACATGGATAAATCTCAAAAACAGTGGTGAATTAAAAGCTGCAAAATAAATATATACAGTGTAACATTCATGTAAAATGTTAAAATGCAAAGCAATTTTTAAGAGTGTATGGGTAAACGTTACAGCAAGAATACAGAAATACTAAAAGTACAAAAACAGCACATTTGGAATGACCCAATAGAGAGCTTTCTGTGGTGATGGAAATGTTCTGCAACTGCACTGATCCCAATATGGTAGCCACTAATTAAGGAACTATTCTGAAAGTCCAAGACATAACAATTTGGGATTTTGCTGAGGTATCACTGAACAATGTACACATAAGAGCTTGATGTTCAGAGCTAGTCACTTACCCAGTTACTGAGCCTAAACAACCATCAATTCTATAATAATGATCTCATATTTTATTTGTAATTTTAAATACAACAGTGATATCAGGGATCTACAAACAACTTAAGGTATACAGTACTATGCATGTCAAGGATTTATTTTATTCAAATATTATATAAAGAGTTTCAAAAGATCCTTGGCTTGTCTTCAAAAATCATTCATTCTAGTTAATTCCCACTAAAGGCAAAAATAAAGACACCAGAAGCTTATAACGAAAACATCTTAATTTGATTTTCATTTCTAAAATTTTTGCAGAAGATACATTTTGAGTGAAATGAAGAGTTTTAGGCAGTTTAAGAAATAAGGATTAAGTCCAGTTATTTATATTTAAAAGAAAAAATTTTTTCTTTTAAAAGAAAAAATAAACCAAATGTATTAGTGGTATGAAGAAAAAGCATCACATTGGAAGTATTGTTTTGAGATTTTTGTGGTCTAGAGTTTGGTCATAGAACATTCCATGGCAACGGTTCAACCCTATTGTGTACTATCTTAGAGACTCTCTATTGGAGAGATGGAGCTATATGGTATAGGATGAATTTAAACAGCATCCAACAAACACTTCACTGTATTTGCTTCATACTTTTTTTTTTAGAACTGCGTCTGGAATCCTTTCTCTGCTTGAAAATAGGAGAATTCAAGAAACACAAATCTGTAAAAGGGTCTCCTCTTCTCAGTTTCCTGAAAGGATAAAAAGAACTCTTAGGCATAATTAGAAGCATCTCAATACTAACTCACTCTTCATATAAAGTTATTGTAAAATATGCCAGTGCTAATATTCCCACTTCACTTTTTAATCAAAATTTTATATTTCAATAAGACTCACTCTTGAACAAAGCTCCAAATCTTACACCCCTCACCATGTACCATTAAGAGTGGGTTCCACAAATCAGATACTTACGAAGCGAGTGTGGGTTCCTTATAATTCATACTGACTGCACACCTGCGCTTTGGCAGAGACACTGCTGGGCTTTCTTTCATTTTTGGAGAAAGAGAAAGTTTTCTGATTTTCGCTTCAGGATATAAGGGGACATTGGTGATATCCTTCAGGCTAAAATGAGTTGAGCAGTGAGTTTCAGGGAGTGCACCTACAAAAACAGCTTTTATTGAACATGGTTCCAAATGAAAGAAAAAAGAAACACAGGAACTAAAATTGTGTGCAATTACATATCCTAAACGTATACAGAATCCAGCATTTTATTGTACAGATTTTTTTACCTATTTATCATTGTTTCATCCCAGTAACACTGAAATATTACTGTAGATGTAAAGAACTGTTGCAACAGATTACTAAACTTAAAATTCTTTTTAAAAAATTATAATTTTTTAAGGATAAAGAAGAATTAAAATTTAAAATTTAAATTTAAATTATGGAATTTCATTTTAGTTCCACCTTGCTCCACAGAATCATCAATATCAAAATTTATCAGGTGGCTTCCTATAGTCTTAAACAGCCACTTAAACTTTATTAAATCCATGAGAATTATTTATTATAGCCTCTGTGGAGACCAGCAGGAAATGGGTTCCCTCTGGTAAAGCTAACATGTTAAAAAGTTAACCAATGTTTTTCCTATCTTAAGCATCCAAATTTTCTAATTTGAAGCTGTATCTATATTGGGTGACAGGTACCCACCCAGCACATAGGACACTGCAAGACAATCTCTTCAAACAGTTTTAAAAGGCAAATTGTCCAAGACAAACTAAATTATAACTGTAAAATGCCTATATTTAGCAACCATGTTCTCCAGGGTTATCTAGGTTTCAAATTCTTTCTTTTGACCCCACATAAATTTATTATATTACACTAATTATTCCAATTTTTAGATTGGAAAATATGGCTAAGCAACATCCAATCCATGGTTATATTCTAGAACAATGCTTCTCAAAATTTGGTATATATAAATTCCCCCAGAGCACTTGTTAAAAAGATGCAGATTCTGATTCAAGGGTATGTCTTGAGATTCTGCATATTTAAGAAGTTTCAATGCAGTGGTGATGCTGATGATCTGGGGATTAAACTCTGAGTAATACTATATCAGAATGTTATTTTTTTTTAAACTTACTGTATAAAATTTCAAGAATACACAAATACAGAGACAACAATATAATGAAACCCCAGTTACCCACCTTCAGTAATTACCAACCTTTTGCCAATCTTGTTTGATTTACTGTAACATAATAGCATATTTAAAAAAATGTATTTGCATACTACCACTGCCTAACTGGTTGACCTTGGAAAGTCATTTAAAATTTTTTAGGCTTTGGGCAGCCCAGGTGGCTCAGTGGTTTAGCGCCACCTTCGGTCCAGGGCGTGATCCTGGAGACCCAGTCGGGCTCCCTGCATGGAGCCTGCTTCTCCCTCGGCCTGTGTCTCTGCCTCTCTCTCTGTGTCTCTCATGAATAAATGAATAAAATCTTTTAAAATAAATAAATAAAAATTTTTTAGGCTTTAAGATCTCTTATAAACTATACAAACATGATGATACACTTCATAGAATTTTTCTGAGTATCAAATGAAATAGCATTATAATGTTTTGGGAATGCTACAACCTATATTTATTAGTTTTATACACTAACTAAATTTCCCAGATGAGAATCTTTGTGGCCAGATGTAGGCTATATCAACTTTTTGTTTCTTTTTTTTTTTTATTTTTTATTTATTAATGATAGGCACACAGTGAGAGAGAGAGGCAGAGACACAGGCAGAGGGAGAAGCAGGCTCCATGCACCGGGAGCCCGACGTGGGATTCGATCCCGGGTCTCCAGGATCGCGCCCTGGGCCAAAGGCAGGCGCTAAACCGCTGCGCCACCCAGGGATCCCTATATCAACTTTTTGAACCATACCTACTTTCGATAAAACTAATAAAAACAAGATTTTTCTAAGCAATAGTTTTTAGATGTCTTACAAATGTCTTAGAGAAGAATAGGAAGCCCATTGAGTAAAAAGTTTGGTCACCTTTCATTAACTAGAATGAATAAATTTAAAATCAGTTCCTGTTATATTGAATATAAAACAAAGCCATTAAAATGACAGGTTACTGGATTCAAATTTGTTTTCATTTTCAAGGGCCTGTTTCAGGTAAGTGTATAAAAGATATTTTAATTCGACCTAGCTCCACTAAAAAGTTTTTCCTTACCTTGGAAGCCTTCATTTACTTAAAGTAAAAATGCTTTCTCTGTAACAAGTAGTATTTGTTCTTAAAGAAGATTTAAATTAGCTTAAAGCAGGTCATAGCCATTCAATTGCGATTTCCACCCCCAAGCCCCCATTGTTTAATCAAACTGTACCTTCCCCCAAAGAGACAGATGGCAAGTCTCTAACCTCCCCCAGAGAAACAGATGGTAAGTATAGCATATAAGCATCAGGAGTGATCATTTATTATAAACATTAAAAATGCAAGCGAACAAGTAGATCACTTACTGATAGGAGTTTGTGTAAGCTTAGAATCCTCCATCTCTTTTTCATTTCTATATTTTTGTGCTCTTTTAGGTCGAGACCTGGCAACTGGGCTATCTGGTTCACTGGAGAGATCTTGACTGTACTTGCAAGTGGGCAAATAAAGGTCATCAGAATCATCTCCTGAATCACTTGATTCACAGATGCTCACTTCAAATTCCTTATTGTTTTCTTCTCTGTTAGAATCACTGCTCATTTTTTGTCGGAAAGGGGTGAGATGAATACCTTCTACCAAATTAAAATTGTAAGCATCATTGGAAGTGACAGATTCATCCAATTTTTTTTTGGAAACAGTCTTTTTATTTTCACTTTTGCTCCCTTTATACTTTGATCCAGATTTTGATTTTCTCCTTCTGTTAGCTTTTCTTTTCTCCTCTTTTCTTCCTTGTGCACCTCTATGCTTATTTTTAGCTTGTTCAAATTTATGTTGTAAAATGTTTTCTTTTGTTTTATTAGGTCTTCCTGGGTCAGTCAGCTTTGGTGATAAGTTAATTTGATCCTTATTCCACTGACAAACACTTTGTTCCACATTTTCAGATATGTGCATGTTTACTAGTGGGTCTTCACATCTAATTCTTTCGGATTCAGAGGGCTGCTGTGAGAAATGACTGATTTCAAAACCATCCAAGGCATTGAACTGACATAGATTATTAAAATGTTTCTTTAAACTTCGACGGACAGATACCGTTCTAGGTAAAGCATTGTCGTAAGTAGATTTATCTTCCTCTGAATCCAAATCAAATTCCAGGCTATGTTGAGAAACAAGTATTTGCTCTGAGAATTTAAAAAATACATGAGAAAAAGTTTTACGTTTTAGTAATCTTAGAACTCAAAACTTAAAAATGGAATTAATAAAAAGTCATTCTTAGTTCTTCCACATTTGCTGTAAGTAAAATACAAATCTGGGGAACTTAATATTCCACTTATTTTGCAATGCTCAATTAATGGTTTCTACCTGACTTGTGAAAGAATCTTATATAACCTTCAAAAATATTCTAAATGGGGTCTATCTTCCTGGTTTAAAGAAAAACTAATAGGCTATATGTATCTATGTGTATAGGATTCAGTGGGAGAGAATCTCATATTCTAAAGTAGAACAAGCATACTGAGAAAGTGGGAGCTAAAATGTTCTTCAAAAAATGAGTAAGATTGGGATAATTGCAAAGCCCTTCAGGTAAGAAATATAATCTTCATTTTTAGGAAAAGTGAGGATCTTTGGTTCTGCTTATTCAAATGCTATTCCTTCTTCAAAGCTTAGTTCAAATAGAGAGGACTGATATTTGAGAACAGGGACATGTCAATTTAGAAGTAGAAAGAATGGGATGGCTTTGGAGATCAGCTTTGAGTTTAAACATTAGTTTTTACCATTTGGGCTACTTCTTGTGAGATACCTTACTTCTTTGGGTCTACATAAAATGGGACCAACAGCACTTACTTTCTGAGGTTGTTGTGAGAGTCAAGTGAGAAAGTGTATATAAAATAGCTAATACAGGAGCTTGGCACATAGTAGGGCTCAGTAAATTCCAGCCATTTATAGCTGATTATAGATTTGGCAAAATGAATGGATGTATTTTTTTAAAAGATTTATTAATTTATTTATGATAGACAGAGAGAGAGAGAGAGAGAGAGAGAGAGAGAGAGAGAGAGGGGCAGAGAACAGGAGGAGGGAGAAGCAGGCTCCATGCCGGGAGCCTGACGTGGGACTCGATCCCGGAACTCCAGGATCGCGCCCTGGGCCAAAGGCAAGCGCTAAACCGCTGAGCCACCCAGGGATCCCTGAATGGATGTATTTTAAAACTGTCATAAGTCCATGTAAAATAAACAGATTTGCTTTGAGAAGAATGCCAGATAAGCAAAGTTTAAAAGTTAAAAAGAAAAAAATTAGAGAAATTTAACTATGTTACTTGTTCACAAAGATCTCATCTTGCCCTTAACAGTATTTTTGATTTTTATTTGAATTACCTTCTATTTGGAGTGATTCTCCTTGTTCTGGAAGGTGAGCTTCCTGAAGAGGAACTTGTCTAGCCAATGAAAAATAGAAATTTACTTAACAATATAATAAAAAAGAATTAAGATTTTCTTAAAATTAAGCTTTTCTCTTTCTTTAGTATCATTTCATAATTCTAAATCAGTGTATCTGTTCAGTATTATCAAAGAAAACAACAACAAAAAAATTAAGCTGATTATACAGAGGCTGGTTTGTTATGAATGACATTCAACTCCCACTGGAAGAACTGCCTATCAGTGAAGACATGCCATAACTCCTCATTTCATTTAGCTGGAGAAACAGCCAATCAGTACTGACTTACAAAATATATTACAGAAATGCAATTTGATTACTCAACTCTTTAGCAGCCTGCTTCATCATTAGCTGAGCTGTTGATTCTTTTTTTTTTTCTTTTTTTAATCTCTTGGTAGTATGTATCTTTAATGGTGCCTTACTACTGAACCCTCTGAAATTAATACTATTTATTTTCTTTAAAAATCTTCTCCCTCTTTGGCTCATGAAAGAACTTCCTTTATGCTTTCATACTATTACTGGCTGTTTTCATTCTAATTTTATTCTTTGTTTACTATACAAAATGCTTCTCTAAACATCAAAATTAAATATAGGTTTAGGTAATAGAGTTAAGATAACTAATTAATAACAACTTCAGGAATCTTATATGAAGTAAATTACCCCATCTTCCTTTTTGATCATTACATAAATATTTTGTCAGGTCTTACAGTTCAATAGTTTTAAAACAATTCATAATTAAAATTAATATGGGGATGGAAGTCGTCTTAGTGATTACTTTTGTGAAGAGGAGGGCACAGACTTGAAAGGGAAAAGGGACAGGAGGAGATGGCATCTGGCAGTAGTTTTAATTGGGGATAATTACATGGATGCATGGTACTATCTGGAGATATTTTTGGTTCTCATAACTGGGGGAAGGAAGTGCCACTGACGCTTAGTGGCTTAGGCCCAGGATGCTGCTAAATGTCCCACAATGCTTAGGATAGCCCTCCACAACAAAGAATTATCTGGCCTAAAATGTCAATGATTCTGAAACTGAGAAAACCCAGCAAGAAGGAGCAGTGCTCTAGTCATAATTGAAATTTTGGTTCCACAGGTGTATATATTAGTCAAACTCATCATTGTGTAATTGTGTAATTAAGATTTGTGCATTTTACTGTATGCAATTGTATCTCAGTAATTCTAAACAAAGTATACTTGATCCAAGAGAAGGGGAAGAGAGTATATGGGGGTCTGACCTTATTTAGGAATGAACTGGATTAGCAAGACAGGGTGATAGCTGTGTTAAACATGATGTTTTATTTCATTTCTAAACCAAATTATTTGTAGTATTGGCAAAATACGGTCATATGAATAACCAATCCTTCTTAGAATTAAAACATGACACAAGAAAAATATAACGGAAAAAACTCAGTTATATTTAAATAACTAGCCTATTCCTAGACTCAAAAAAGTAAATATAAGAAAGGTTTGGCTTGGCTATATGTAACAGAGTATCAACGTACCAAATTTTTTAAAAAGCATTTTTAGTAGAGAAAAAGATCAGACGCCGAACACCAGAATGTATACGATGCAAATTTTCTTTCATAAATGTATCACAGAATTAATTCTTTTTTTGTTTTTAGTAATCATAATAATGAATTTGATACTAACGGTAAATCCTTCACAGATAAATCCCCAAGGTTGTTGTCATTATTGGAGTCCATTCCAGAGGGACATACTTCTCGGTTCTGTTAATATATTAAAACAAAGAAAACATTGGTATAATTGAAATATTCATAACAAAGCATTTATTCAACAATAAAAATGGATGAGCAGTCTACTGTGGTGCTGGGCGTTGTTCTCAGAACTGGACCTACAGCAGCTAAAAAATAGATTTAGCTAAAAATAGATTTAAGTCCAACCCTCTTAAAGCTTACATTATAGTGTTGGGAGAGAAAAATTTAAGACAAAAGGAAAGAGAAACATAAATAATTTCAGATATTGATAAAGTGCTAATCAGTAAATACTCAGAGTTGAAGTGACAGAGTACTTGAAGTTGGAGGGTTCTCTTAGATAGCATGACTTTCATCTGAAATGTAAAGAATGCAAAGGAGCCAGTCATTGAAAGAGCAGGGAAAGAAAAAGCAGAGGAAACAGCAAATACAAAAGTCATGATGTAGGAAAAACCTAGCTGTGTTTAGAAAAGAAAGGCCATTGTGGCTAGAGTCATCTATGACCTTTCTTAATAAGAATGGTAGGGGATGTGCATGCAGAGGCCTTGAGAGTTACAAGTTTGGATTATAGTCTAAGTGTGATGGGAAGTCACTTAAATTTTAAGCAGGAAGTAAAATGATCTAAGTTTTAAAAAGATCAGTCTGGCCACTGTGTGAAACATGGGGATTGAAAGGGGCCAAGAGCAGAAAGAGTGAGGAAGTCATTGTAGTAAATCTAGTAAGACATGCATATTAGCTAGGACTTGAGTCCTATGGCTATAGAGGTTAAGCCCAGTGGAAGGTGTTGAAAGACCAAAGTGTGCTGAGATTGAACAGAGATGGAGGTGGGGACAGTGAGGGAGAGGGAAGCCTCTTTAGTTTTATTTATTTTTAAAGATTTTTATTTATTTATTCATGAAAGACAGAGAGAGAGAGAGAGAGAGAGAGACCAAGACAGAGAGAGGCGCAGAGACACAGGCAGAGGGAGAAGCAGGCTCCATGCAGGGAGCCCAACGTGGGACTCGATCTCGGGACTCCAGGATCAGGCCCTGGGCCGAAGGCAGGCACTAAACCGCTGAGCCACCCAGGGATCCCCGCCTCTCTAGTTTTAACTTGAACAAATGGATAGGTTGTTTTATGAGATAAGACTTACAGAGAGGCAGAATTACACAATATTTTTGGGAGAGGGAAAATAGAGTTGTGCTTCATACAAAATATGTTTGAAATCCTTTATAAATATTTAGGTGAATATATCAAATACTAGTCGTGTGTGTGTGTGCCTTTGTAAGTTTTGAGCTATAAATTGGAGGTCATCAGCAGATAGTATTTAAAGCCATGGGAGGATAAAATAGGTCTAGCTAGGACAAATGATATTTGAAGGTAAAGAACTGAGCAAAACAGACTGACAGGGAATAGTCAGAAGAGCAGGACAACTTAGGAGAGTAAGAAAGGCAAGAGATCAAAGTATGTTGTTTATTAATTCAAGGGTAAATTTGGTCACAAAAATTGGGGTTTGTGGGCACCTGGACAGTGACCACAGAATGATGGGGATACAAGAGTGAGTTGAAATGTAAATAGAAACTGAAGAAATGAAGATAATAAGTGCACTGTTCTCTTTGCCTTTTTTTTTTTTTAATTTGGTTTGTATTTGTTACAACCTCTTAAAGCAGAATGTGACTTGAGCACTACATTTCCACTCACAAAACTTGCGGAGTTACTCCTTGAACAGCTTTACAACATGCTTAAGGAGGCTTAGAATTTTGCTAAACAACGCTCTTCTTTGGAAAACAAGCCCTATCTGTGGCTACTCCCATCCAGTTGGTTCTACTAAACTACTAGTTTCTAGAAGCCTAGTATATGCAGTTGAGAACTACAAGGGACAGAAGATTTAAAAAGACCCTAGAAGGTGAAAGTTGTTTTAACCAATATTTCTTCTTTTACACATCTGCTATAAAGGGAAGCAGAGAAATGAGGAGTTAAGGGATATGAAACCAGGAGATGTTTTATTTATTTTCTTTTCTTCTTAAGGCAAGAGATACTAAAGCACATCTGTATGATAGCTAGAATGATTCAGCCAAGAGGGAAATACGTGTTGAAAGAGCACAAACTTTCTAGAGGAAAGTCCTAGAGATGAGAAAAAGGGAATCTGAAGCACAGGGGAGGGCTCAGCCTTCAATAGGAGCAGAGGCTCTTCTACCACTGTGACAGGAGGGAAGATGAAGAACACAGGGTAGACACAGGCAGATTTGTCGATTTGTATTAGGAAGGTGAAAGCTCCAGACAAATTCCATAGAGGTCATTCTAATTCAGTTCAGTTGTTTTTTGAAATTTTTTTTAAAAAAGATGTTATTTATTTGAGAGAGAGAAAGCGTGCACTAGCAGGTGGTAGGGGTTAAGGGAGAGGGCATAGCAGACCCCTGGTGAGCAGGGAGCCAAATGCAGGGCTTGACCCTGGGACTCTGGGATCATGACCTGAGCCAAAGACAGATGCCCAACTGACTGAGCCACCCAGGTGCCCCTGTTTCTTTAATTTGATGCATATATAAGATGCTGGTATTATGATAGGTTAAAACTTTAAAACTCTTCAAGAGAAACAAAACAACTAGAAATTTAATCCTGTTAAAAGTCTTAAATTTAGGGGCATCTGGATCGCTTGGTTAAGTGTCTGCCTTCAGTTCAGGTCCCAGGATCCTGGGATCTAGCCCTGAGCCTTGCTCATTCTGTGTCTCTCTAATAAATAAATACAATCTAAAAAAGTCTTAAATTTATTTTCAGTATAGCTAAATATTCTAAATTTAAGTGGCATTATTGCTGAAGATAAATAAAGGAGACTATTTCATTACAGAATAATATAATTTAATAACAAGTTACTAAAATGATTCATTATAAAAGCTAGGGAATAAAAAGCTATTAGAAATTATGTTGTAGGGATCCGTGAGTGGCTCAGCGGTTTAGCGCTTGCCTTTGGCCCAGGGCGTGATCCTGGAGTCCGGGGATCAAGTCCCACGTCGGGTTCCCTGCATGGAGCCTGCTTCTCCCTCTGCCTGTGTCTCTGCCCCCCTCTCTCTCTGTCTCTGTCTCTCATGAATAAATAAAATCTTTTAAAAAAAATTATGTTGTGATTAATCCTTATAAACTATTGATAGGCAAGAAAAATATTCTTCTTATCAAAGCATTTTAAGCTTTTCCATCACTGATAAATTGACTTGATAAAAACGGAAGCATGAGTACAGAATGATGGTTGAAAGGGAGTGACACATGTAGCAACTATATGGCAGAAAACAAACTTTGATATCTTAAATGCTAAGGACACTTTTGCCCAGCAACTAATAATATGGTTTAATGAATACTCAAAAATCATTGTAAATGTCAACATGCCTGCAATTACAATTTTTTTCCTACTGTTCAGGTACTCATTTTTCACTATTCTATATATGATTTCACCAAAAACTTAGGAAAGGGAAAAGGAAGATTCAAATGTCTCTGGAGAGATTTTTTTTTTTTTTTTTTTTTGGCCTCACTAGTTGACTGAACAAGGAAAAGAAAAAAAATCAGGAAAGATTATATTCTGAAGGAAAAAAAAACCACAACCAACCTTTATAAACAAGCTAACCCTCACAGGAAGAAAAAGCAATTATATCAAATCTTTATAGACAATTCTTTGCTATACTCTATATGCATGTATTGTATATATGTATGTATATTCTCTATATGATACATAGAAAAAATATGGAATCATGTTAGTTGCAGGGAAGCAAGAACTCTTTCACTGACTCCCCCTGGCAGCAGAGAGCTGACTAATTCCCTTCCTGAGTCTATAACCTTCCCCTAATCACTATGGTCTGGCCTTCTTCTCTGGTTTCTTGGCCTAAGTATCCACACAAATGTCTTTACTAGCATAGCAAACAGATGACGACCCAGAAACAAAGTAAACTTTCTCTTAATACAGAGGTAATGTATACTTTTCCTTAACCAACTAGTAGGTAAAAATGACTCTCCAAGAGAGCACTTCAATACTTCCCTCCCAAAGTAAGGTAGTTCTTATAAAACCTCACTAGATATAACAAAACTACATAGAAGAGCTAAGATTTATACCACTGATTAAAACTTCTGGTCTACAACAAGTACCGCTTTTAGACCTTTAGCTATCTTTGACTCACTTAGCTGAACAGTTGAAGGGACCAGCAGTGCAACAGGTTAACCTCATTCTTCTGTACTTTGTCTTGCTACCTACTTTCAGAACCAAGTTATACAAGCTCAAGCCTCAATCACATATGTGCTTGAAGTTTTCTTTAACTGGCCACAAACAACAGCTGTGCTGAGGCACTGAAGAAAGAGGTTTTGATCAATTCACTACTAACAGAGCATCAGTAATTAATTTAAATAACATAATTAATTGATCTATCAACTCATGGCTGTCACACTTTTTCCTAAGAACTTCAGTCTTTGTAATGAAAATACCTGAGAAGTTTCTTCTGTTTGTTGTGAAGTCAGTTTTTGTTTCAATGCATACAGCTGACACGTGAGATAGTAACATTCTCTTCTCAGTTGCAAGATGATATCTTGGGCTTCTCTCACTTTAGACTTTTCATTTTCCAAAGCTAAAACTAACATTCTGTTGTTGTCTTCGTAGTTTTTTAGCAGTGTAGAAGTGTTGGCTAAAAGACAATAAAAATTTTTTTTTATTATGTATTAAATCCAAACTTAAAAAGTGATGCAAAAGCACACGAAAATCTCTTACAGATTATTTGGCATGGCGCAGCTATAAAAGACTTTCGTTTGCCAATCTCTGCCAAATTTTTATTCCTTTTCTCTTTCATCCGTCTCTTTATGTCTTCAAGACTATCTTGAAAGGACTTTTTAAGGCACCTTTCCTTGGCCATCTTCTACCTAGGAACTTAAAACAATAAAAAGCATTTAATTTTTCTAAGAGATAATATCAAATACAAAACAAGACTGAAAACACAGGCTGTTTGTAAAGAATGGATTAAACAGACTTAATAACTGTAGAATTAGCTTAAAGAAAGTGGCTAACCTGGTAATAACTTACATTTTGCAGCTTTTAAATCTCATTAATATTTTGGCATAATATTATCCTCCTCAGGTACTTTATAGAGAAGTTAATAAATGTGCATTTCAACTCAAAGACTCTGTAATATGCCACTATGTATTAACAAATATCCCCTGGGGCTTACTATATAGTAGGCATTATGGGAAATACTTAGTATTCTATTTTGATATTATTATGTTTCCTACAGACCATGTTTATGACCAACATTTACTGTTTCAGTATTTACTAGACTTACAGCATTAATTTAGAGGTAATGATATATGTGGGCTTTGTTTTCCAGTTCTTCCCTCACTTGATTAACTTTCTTCCATGCTCTTTTATTTATTTATTTATGATAGTCACACACACAGAGAGAGAGAGAGGCAGAGACATAGGCAGAGGGAGAAGCAGGCTCCATGCACCAGGAGCCCGACGTGGGATTCGATCCCGGGTCTCCAGGATCGTGCCCTGGGCCAAAGGCAGGCGCTAAACCGCTGCGCCACCCAGGGATCCCTCTTCCATGTTCTTTTAACCCAACACTTAATATATGCACACACTCAAGAAAGTCAAGGTGATCTTCAGGTGTTTAAACTATGTAGCACTATATACAGTTTTAATAGGCTATCATAACAATTATAGAGCTAGAAAGAATAGGAACTGAGGCAGGGGAACATGCTAGTTTTCTCAAAGTTTATTTTTAAAACTCAGGTCTGTTAGCTCCTAGTAAGTCATGAATATAGCAAACAATCCATTAAATAATGGTTGTTCTACATACTGTTAAAAGTGGCAAAACAAGTGCTGATAGTGTCATATGCTAATACATGAATATACTTAAATTTTTCAATGCTGCAAGTCAGATTTGGTTCAATATTCTGCTACTAAGCCTATCAAACTACTTTTCATGAGCATCTTTTAACCTAGATTGCACTCTGCAGATCTTAAAATTACAAAAGGAAACTGGCAATACAGTTTGTAAGAATAAAATTCTTATTCTTACAGTTTATAAGAATAAAATTCTTATTTCCTACAACCATATATACAATTTTCACTACAAAAGATACCTCCATCTCCTCTAAGTTAGTCAAATATTTTACTGTGCCTTACCTTTTCTCAGGTATTTTCTCCAGGCCTTACTTATTTTCCTCTATACAGTGTCTGGAGGTATTAAATATAGATACGTAGATCTCATTTATTATTTTCTGACAGTGGAGACACAACATATACTGAGATGTTTCTGGTAAAGCAAGCACAACTATTTTTTTTTTAAAGCACTAACGTTAAGTTGTACAAAACAATGTATCAAAATGGAATTTTTTTTGTCCCTCCCTCCCTCCCTCCCTCCCTCCCTCCCTCCCTCCCTTCCTTCCTTCCTTCCTTCCTTCCTTCCTTCCTTCCTTCCATTCATTAGAGACAGAGAGAGGCAGAGACACAGGCTGAGGGAGAAGCAGGCTCCCGGGTGGCCTGATGCGGGACTCGATCCCAGGATCACGACTTGGGCCAAAGGCAGATGCACACAACCACTGAGCCACCCAGGCGTCCCCACAATGGAGTTTCTGAAATTCTAATCGGAGATGTTTGATAGCCATACAGATTAAGTGACCGATCAAGTTAGTTTAGCAAAGCCTTACCTAAGTATCTTTCGTTATTCCCTTCAAGCAACTTAAAATCACAAGAGAGATTTGGTGTACCAAAAGTTCCCTGTCTAGCCCATTAACATGGGGTATGGTGGAGACAACGCATGAAACAGGTCACAGCGCAGGACGAGTCCGTCTGTATTCCGGTGAGGGGTCTAGATTCAGAAGAACCTAGAATATTTGATCTCCGCCATCATTCTTTCATCCTTCCTGCTGCGGAACCGGCCAGCCCGCTAGGGCAGCGATCAGTGCTAGCCGCTCCAGGGCAGGGTAACCCAAACAGCAAAACAAGGACCCCGACGGAATCGCGCCGCACAGAGAGCTGCCAGTTTGTGTGCCCTTAGGTTAAGCGTGGCTTTTTGAGGTGCTATGGATGCCTCTACACATCACTGGAGCCACAAAATCCTGCAAGGCGGAAAGTCAGCGTACCCGTGTATTTAACCAAAGCGTAAACGGGGGCGTGGGAAGGCTCAGGTCGGGTGGGTGAACAGAGAAAGGCACCGGGTCAACCCGACTCCACGGCCCCCACACCGAACTCAGGACGACAGAGGGATCCCTGGAGGAAGAGGCACAGGGGCCACAACACCCCCGTTCCACACCTGGAAGACCTGTGGCCTCCTCTTTCTCGGAGAGGCTCCCGTGAAGCGGACGTGGGGGTGTTGCCCGGAGAAGGCCCGGAAATCCTCCTCCCGCAGGTACGTCCCAAACAGTACCTTGGTCACCACCTGTGCCGCAGCTGTCGCCCTCCTTGCATCCCAAAGTTCCGCGAGGCCGTCCTGCCGGTGTATCCCGAGCTTCGGACCCTCCAGCCGCAGGCTCCGACAGCGGGTCGCCCGCCAGCTAACGCGACCGCATTCGAAATTCGCCGCCGCGCTCCCCCATTGGGCGGCGGACGGACGGTCACGTGAGGCGCCGCCGCCGCCGCCGCCGCCGCCGCCGCCGACGCGGCAGAGCCCCGCCCCGCCCCCCCGGGCTGCCCACGTGACCCGACCCGAGCCTCCACATCCGGCGTCTGCAGCAGCCCGGCCTCTGGAGGGCGGAGTCTCCAGTCAGCGCGTCGGCCTGGGGGCGCTTTTCTGCTCGCAGTCGTTGGCTTTTGGGGGTGGAGCCGCCGGGAGATCGCACAGGGTGGGTATTTCGGAGCGTTCGACGAGCTTCCTGTTAACTTTAGTTTTGCGGTGTGCCCGTCTCGGAGATTGTACTCGTGGGCTCCCTCTTGTGAGGAGAATCTCCAGAATGGTTTGCCCGCCGAAGTGGTCGACCTGCTTGCTGAAGAGAGGCCTCTGGGAGGGATATGAAAGCCAAAGTAGGAAGCGAATTTCGGATTAACGGGACGTTATTAGGGAAGTTCCAGATACCTGAAATACTCCGCTCCGGGTTCTTCGTCTGGCTGCCTGTGGCTCTTCAGCCCCCGAGAAATGGCGCTAGCATCCGCATAGCTACTGACTGACTCAGCAGCCTGGGAAATTTTCCTTAATGATTTTTAACCCCCCCCCCTCCCAGCCTTTCCATGCCCCGTCGATCACCCGTCCGGTCAGTTCTGCCTTTTAACTTTTATTTATTTTTTTCACGTGCAAACCCCACTATTTTCCATACCCCAATCCGGCCGGATTCCTCCTCCCTTTCTGTGAACTGTAGCGGTACCTACCCTGACCGCAGCCTCCACTCCCTTTTGTTCTTCACAGAGTGATATTTTGATAAAGCAAATATGATGGAGTGCGAAACTCTTAAATGGCTCTCCCCTGCGTTTAGGATCGAGTTCAAACTCCCAAAGATCTTTGGGCTTCAAAGAGCCCAATGGTTTCTACTTTCACTTCTGAATTTCATTTCCTTGTCACTCGTCTTGCTACTTTTGCCCATGCTTTTTTTTTTTTTCTTTTCTTTTTTTTTTTGTTTGTTTGTCAAGAGCAGTCTTTCCTTTACCGGGGCTGCCTTCGTCGTATTCATGCTGCAGGTCTTATTGTAGAGGTGAAATTTTTTCAGAAAGCCTTATCTGTCCCTAAAGGCTCCTTAATCAGCCTGCTTTGTTCATCCTTGGTGCCATGCACGCACTTTTCCTTTCGTACCACTTGGGGCCTTGACTTATTCATTGTCTGTTTATTCAATTTGCATAAAGGTAGAAACTATATATGCCTGTATCTAGTTAAATATTCAGCATCTACTTAGCAATTTGCCATTAGTAAGTATTCACTGAGACAATAAAAGAATGAGTAAATGAAACGTAAGCAGTTCTGAATTTAGGCATTCATCATGAAATTTGTTTTTTAGATAACATTTACATCCTTATTCTTTTTTTTTAAGGATTTTATTTATTTATTTATTTATTTATTTATTTATTTATTTATTTATTTATTTATTTATTTATTCACAAGAGAGACAGGCAGAAACATAGGCAGAGGGAGAAGCAGGCTCCATGCAGGGAGCCCAATGTGAGACTCGATGCCAGGACCCCAAGATCACACCCTGGGCCAAAGGCAGGCGCTAAGTCGCTAAGCCACCCAGGTGTCCCCACATCCTCAGTCTTGTCTAGACCTCACCCTCATGCCTTGGCTTGATGGAAGAGATCAGAACATCTGTCTTTAGCCAACAACTTGTTCTCCAAGTGTTATGAGCGGGATCACTTCCATTATTCCTGGGGTGTGGCTTATATGTGCAGAAGCATCAAGGAAGGCTTGGTGGTAGGTACAGTACAGCTGCTGCTTGTACTGCAGCTCAGGGTATGGGGCCTGCCACTTACACCAACCTCAACTGATGGCATTAATCACTCTGCTCTGTAGGTGTGGGCAGTGGCCCTGGCAAGATTGGCACAGGTGCAGGGTGGGGAGGAGATGCTACTCGGTTTGCACACTGCCACAGGTCTGCCCTGGTAGGTCTGCGGGCGTCTCGGTCATAACCCTGCACAGCAGAGTCAGGCAGTCATGGACCTACCAGCAGGAGGACATCCTGGCCACAGTGGAAAATTTGTAGCCAGAAATGAGAAACATTGCAAGGCATCTTAACCAAGAAGTTGCAGTTCATGCATATCAGTTCAGGTGGTCCAAAAGACTTGCTAGGCTCACTAATCTAAAGAATATGCAGAGGTGTGGAGTGCCCGGATGGCTTAGTTGGTTAAGCTGAGAACTCTTGATTTTGACTTGGGTCACAATCTCAGGTTGTGCGAAAGAGCTCCAGCCTGGGGCTCTGCGCTGAGCAGGTGGAGCGGCCTGGGATTCTCATTCTCCCTCTGTCTCTGCCCCTCCCCCCCTTGACTCTGGCTCTCTTATTATTATTTTTTTAATATTTTATTTATTTATTCATGAGAGACGCAAAGAGAGAGAGAGAGAGAGGCAGAGACACAGGCAGAGGGAGAAGCAGGCTTCATGCAGGGAGCCGATGTGGGACTCGATCCCACGACTCCAGTATCACGCCCTGAGCCAAAGGCAGGTGCTAAACCACTGAGCCACCCAGGGATTCCCATCTCTGGCTCTCTTAAAAAGAATATACAGAGGTTTGTTTCAGAGCTGTATGTTTGGCATAACTGCCACCCCTTTAGAGTCACTGAGCTGGTTTGGATTCTGGTTCCATTGTGGGTCTTCACGTCGGTTGCTCTCTGGAATTCTGTTACAGGGGCAACATATTCAGGAGCAAACTTTTCTGTTCAGGAACCAGTTAGCTATCGACGGGGTGCTAGAGTTTCCTGACCTCACTGTACTAGTGGGGTTCTGCCTGTCTCCACTGGTGTCATCGTGGAGATTTTTGCTCTGCAAAAAATTGGAATGTCTCATTTTCAGACATACATTGCACACTTTGTACAGTATTGGTGTTGATGATTCTAACTGCTGTGACAGTACCTTCATTGATGGTCTTCTACTGGTGATGTTCTAGCTTCACGGGACATTTACAGAACCTACTGATGTGTTCTGCTAGGTTTTGCCAACTTTGCCTAATACTGGTGACCAAGTCAGATTCAGGCATTCCTTATAAGGACCTCTTTGCTGCCTTTACACTAAGTTTATTTCAAGAAAATGACATGCTTTTCAGTAATTTTCAAACAGTTGCAGTGTCACTATCACAATAGATTTAGGCTTAGAAATTCAAGATGTGATTTAATTTGTCTTTAAAATCATGAATTGTGTGAAGTGCTGTGTGTTAAGATATAATCAAATATATTTGACAATACTTAAAATCTTTTAAATGCTAGGAATGTAAAGAAAATTTTAGAAATGAAATCCTAAAAAATACAAAAGTAGAATCAAAGTGTCTGGTTCTGCTTATAAAATTACTAGAGGTGCCAGAACTTTGGAAAACAGGATAATATACTGAATGATGTAGAATTATATTGACCAATCCTATACATTAAAGTTTTATAAAATAAGAGAATCCAGGGAAGTGCTTTTTAAAATTTTGGAGGCGTGGAGGATTATGGACCCGTTTACACATTTGCTGAAGGTATGGTTTTCTTTTCAGAAAAATCCTAGGACTCATAACATGACAGCCTTCATTGATGACTCCCCTTGCCCCACCCTAAGTCTTTCTGGTAATTCCTGGTTGAGAAATATTTTTCTAATGGAACACACAAAGGTGAGTTAATGTGTGACTTTTATAAAATGGACTTGAGTTATAGGCAATAGAGTAGTCCATGAAGAAGGTACCTAATATGGTAGGTGATGTTGCCTTTCAACACTACTCAGAAAGAATACAAAAAGACACTTAAGATACGAAAAATGTGTTTTTGTAAGATTTTATTTATTTGAGAGAGTGATGAGAGAGAGAGAGAAAGACAGAGAGAGAGCAAGCACAGATGATTAGGAGCAGAGGGAGAGGAAGAAGCAGACTTCTCTACTAAGCCAGGAGCCCAAGATGGGGCTTCATCCCAGTCCCGTGGGATCATGACCTGATCCAAAGGCAGCTGCTTAACTGGCTGAGCCACTCAGATACCTCTAACATAGGAAAAATTAAGAGGTAATATAAATTGTGAGTCCAATTCACTTGTTTGATTTGAAAAGATGATAAAACTCATTGCAGTTTGGGATATTTATGATTAAATTTGACAGTCATTTGAGAAGATAAAAAAGGATCAGAAATTTTTTTTAATGTTTAAATTTTTTACATTGCTTGAGGCCAGAGGTTATGAATTGGAAAGTGAGAGCAGGGCTGGCTTTCTGAGCATGTGACCTATGCCCAGAAAAGTCTTGCACTTGGTTTAATGTTCTGCTCTTGCCATTTTGAAATGCTTAATAATGTATCTTTGAGCTTGTGATTTGTAAGTGAAGTCTGAAAAGACAATGGAACATGCACATGAACAAATGAGATAACATGGAGTATATGTGACCATCTTGTCTCTTGTTGCCCCATTGCCATATCGTGTTCAGGAGATTTGCTAAATGGCTTCCATGGCACACATACTTTATACTTGGGGCTCTGTGCTGAGAAGGGCTTCATAACCTGGTTTACTGAAATTCTTGAAATTCTTAACAATTTTTAAAAGATTTTAATTCCAATATAGTTGACCTACAGCATTATGTTAGTTTCAGGTATACAATATAGTGATTCAACGTTTTTGTACATTGAGTAATGTGATAAATGTACTCTTAATCCTTTTCACCTATTTCACTCACTCCCACTGGTAGACAACCAGTTTATTCTCTATAGTTAACAGTCTGTTTCTTGGTTTGTTTCTTTTTTTCTTTGTTCATTTTCTCTGTTCATTGTTTTGTTTCTTAAATTCCACATATGAGTGAAATCATATGGTATTTGTCTTTCTCTGACTAGCTTATTTCGCTTAGCTTTACACTTTGTAGATCCACCCATGTTGATGCAAATGGCAAGTTTTCATTCTTTTTTTAATGACTAATATCCTACTGTGTTTGTGTGTGTATGCATGTGTGTGTGTTTGTGTATTTTTCTCTTTATCCATTCATCTATAGA